ACATAAATTAATAAAATCTCATGCATAATTAAATATCAGTTTCTGCGTTCTTAATTATATAATTAAGCATAAATACTATTTAAATTAAAATTTTAAATAAGATTTTCCAATATTAATATGCTCAATTTAATTCAAAATTTATAAATTATAAAGAAAGAGGTAACTAAAAAATTTATTATATTTTTCAAAAATATTATATATATATATAAGTATTTCAAATATAAATCTATAATAAATAATAGTTATGAGTATGTTATATACATTATAGAATAAGTTATTAAAAGCAATCTACAGTGCTTCAGGTTTATAAAAGAAACTAAAAGTTGACATTATTGTATGAATATTCAAACATATATTCTACTATATAAGCTTTAACACTAGATGATAGATAATTATATGTAGTAAAAAAAATGCAATTTCCTTATTTTTTACTATCCATTTATCATATAGTTTTTAGATTATAATTCATTAACTACATGTATAATATAAACGAAAGGTGTTCCTAACAATTGAAATTCATTTAGCAATGTAAATGAATATGCTGAAAGATTTTTGTAGATATTGCTAATGTTCTTATTTTTTCTGATTTGGAATTGACAACTAAGCTACTCAACTCATAAAAATATAAATTTATCAACTACAATACTTCTTTCTTGTAGTTAATATTTTTTTATTTAGGAAATTTATCCGAATGAAAGATTACTCCTCTTCTTGCAATATTTATAAATTGATAGAATGTACATCAAAAGATAATTAAAAAAAGTAGAAGTAATTAAAATTGAATGAACACTTTGCAATTTTTAAACCTTTTCATTTAAACTTCCTTTAAATTAATTTTTATATTTAATATAAACATATCTTTATATATGCTTAATCTTTTTGAAATACCTTGACAGCATACTTAAAACGTAATTCAATAGTATAAAAATTCTTATTTTCTCCCAAGTAATGCTTCTAAAAATGTAATAAAAGTAAAAGAACATAAAAAAATAGATTAAAATAGACTGATATTTTTGTAGAGAAATAATACTATATGTATACATGTATTATTCAACTTCATTTTATGTATTTTTTGAATTTTATAAACAAATTTAAATAATGCACCTATTAAATTTAAATTATCTGTTTCAAAAATATACCTGTTAATTTAATATGATCATGAATTATATTTAATATATTATATTTTATATTATATTTATATTACTATATTATAAAGAAATATATTATATTTAATATTTGAAATTCCTTGTTATAAAAAGTTCTGCAAAAATCTATTAAAGAAAAATGAGCTAATATATTTAATTTAAATCAAAATTATAAGCCTTACAATTGAGTTAATATTAATATTTTATTTGCTTACATTTACTGAAACTTTACAACATCATATTTTCTGTTACATATAATAAAAATTAAAAAATATTTCGTTGATTTATGAATAAGAGAATGTGTTTATGCATTGTGTAAATATTTTAATTAAGGAAATTTTATAATTTTATAAGATAAATTTTTGAAAAGTTAATAAATTAAAATTACATTGTAGAAATAAGGCATGTAAAACACTAATTTTTAAAATATTTTAAAAACGAAATGTAGAAATAAGCAACAATGACTATGGGATTACAAAATTTTAAATATTCACTTTCAACAATAGGTATGTCAGAAACTTAACGTATATATAGATATATTGAAATTTACTAAGGTATTTCAAATTGTATTTTATCAATCTTATTGATACAAATGAAAAATGTAACGAATGCAGAAAAATTATTGTGCAATATTAATTTGTTTTAAAATTATACATGGAATACGATATGAATTAAAAATAGAAATGCATAAAAAATAAAAATTCATGCATTTCATTAAATTTTTTTATATCTATGAAAACTTATGCTAATTCATATTGAACTGCATATTCAAAACCATTAATACCATTAAGTTATTCTATTATATTTCAAAAATCAGTTAGTAAATATGAAAATTTTTTGGAAATTGCAATTTTTATATAATGATTTAAATTATTGTTTAACACTACACACATAATATATTAATATTCGTAAAACCAATATTTAAAATCATCCATATGTACAAAAAATTGAAAGAATGTCAATATTTTTGTTATTAATAAATATTTGTACATGATTTGTTGAAACAAAATAAAATAAAAACATAATATCTTATTTATTGTTCATCACTACGAGTCATTAATGAAATAGGTCTTCTTTAGTTTTAAGATTTTACCAATTTTCATTCAACATTAATAATTCAAATATATATAAACACTGTAAAAATGTACAACTATATTGAAATTACTCTGGTTACTTATAGAAAGGTTGTAAAAAGGTTGTTTAATATTATTGGAACTGCAAAATAACTTAATATTTTTATTATTAAATATACTATTCTATGTTATTTATATTGAATATTTTTCTTAAAATTTTTCATGAAAAAAACATAGAAAAAATAAATGAAAATATTAAATACAGCAATAATTTAAAACTATTAGTATTTTAAAGGTATTTATAAAATATAATTAAATACATATATTTTTAACGTGAAAATCGAATAAAGAAATAAAAAGAGAATCATCTTCCTACTTTAACGTAAATCATGAATTTTCATACAATATCGTTTTTTGTTCCTCAAGTTTATTTTATTTTAAAAAGTAGAGATAGATAGAGTTACAGGAATGCTTTTAATATTAATGATGAATTTTACGAACAAGTGAATAATTTTTATTTATGTAATATATTTTTATATATTATAGGATTTTATTATCGATATTTTTAAATTCAACTAATAAGATTAGCTACATCTCAATTTGAAAATGTATAATTTTACGAATTATTTATTTGATATTTATTTAAATATTATAAATATAATAATAATATTTTTAATATTTTTAGCATACTTATTTAACTCATATTATGCAAATATTCTTTCTTTAAACTATTCTTTCTATTCTATAAATAATGAAAGAATTGGTTAAAGGATAATATATCAATCCTTATTAATAAATGTTTATATGTTGGAAAAAATAGAAGAGACTGACAAATGTAATTTATTCATATTGCATAGATTTTATGCACAATATTAACAAAGGACAATCAAAAAAGATAATCTAATCAAACACATAATAGAAAATGAAATACTAAGTTTTCATGTAACAAAAATAAATTTAGAAATTTGTTATTATAAAATTAGAAAATTGGTTATAGACATAAAAATTTACCAAAGCTTCTAAAATTATATTTATTATGTAATAATATTTTTATACAATAACAAATTTAATTTAAACTTGATCGAAATTATAAAATAATTATATATTTAGTTTTTGCAAAATATTTACTAAATAATTAATATACAGAAAGAACGATTATTCGGATTTAAAATATAATCTATTAACTTACGAAAATATACATATTATTGCATATATTATAAACAATTTTTAATTCTTTATATTGTATAAGGCTTATCAATGTTTAAAAATATAGATTTAAAATGTTGAAAATGAAGAGAAATCAGCCGCTTTGAAGGATATAAATATCTAAGTTTGTTGTTGATGTGCATATATATAAATATATAATATATATAATACTATTACTAGAATGGATGAATTTAATTATAAAATATAAATTCTTCACTGATTTATATGCACACTTTGAGAAGTACTCATCTGAGAATTCATGTAAATATATCTTAAACATTAATTATTTTAATAAAAAAATAATCAACTATAATATTAATATTATAATATTAACTTAATTAGTTAATATTTAATTTTAAGTATATATTTTATAATATCTGGAGCACTTTTTCTTTTAATCCATTCTTAATTTCATTACATCTTATATAAAAAAATTTTTTATAAACAAAATTTTGTATTGGATTAATAATAAGACAGTAGCTATATTTTATGAATTACTCATTTTACAACATTTGCTATAAGTAAAAATTAAATATAAATTAAAAACATACTATATTTATATATTTAATAATTTAAAATTATATTGTATTAAAAATTTAATTATAGATTTCGTTAATATCTAAAACAATAAAATATATTAATTTCTATTCATAAAAAATAATCGAAATACATTTATTTTATCAAGTACATTTGTAAACATATAAATATATTAAAGATGTTTTTGCAGTTTTTTAAATGATGGTGTTAATACTAATGTAAAATTTATATAATAATGATGCGTCATGTAGATGTTAGTTTATTTTATAAAAGGAATAAATTTTATATAAGAATAAAAATGAGTGTTTCATATAAAAAAGGAAATTTATCTGTATCATAATGATTTAAATAGATATTGAAAATCAATAGTCCATGTTATGAAAGACGTGTATATTTATATGATCAATCAGGTGGTTATTTTACAATGACTGTATAGTAGTAATAGTAGTATTAGGAATTTAAATAGGAAAACTTCAAATATCGTAATATATCCTATAATAATGTTTTTTTTTATTTGTATCTGTATATTTCAACGATAGATTGAAATTTGATATATTATAATAACAAACAGCAAATTATTCTATAAAGACATCTTAGTATAGACACCATAGTACTAAATAAATTTGAAGATATTTGAGTAAGTTTTATACTTTATTCTCAATAAAAAAATTTAATTTTTTTGAAAAATTTTAAATGCCTCTGGATAACGAGCCCATGACGAATCAAAAGCAGATAATTTTTTTACGGTAAAAAAATATTAGAACACGTATGAGAACAACGTCCGCGTGTACGTACGTACTTACGCAGCACACTACTGGCTCGAATGTTATTTTTTCCAGCTTTCGGGAGCACTCAATATCGTACTTCAATAGGACTTGTCTCTTACGCTCCAGATTGACAAATGGTTACTAAAAACATTCGTACAGCCCTTCTTAAGTTCGTGATCGCGAATTAGTTTTTAAGATACCCTTTTCTGGATCATCAGGCACAATTGTTGATGGAGAAGACATACGCGAATGGGCAGACTAACGACACCCACCTTGCTAAGGGACCACTCCTCTTCGCCCGCTGCCAGAGTATCTTTTCGACGACAGCTACATTGCCATTCCTGGCTGCTTCGAGCAGCTCTTGGTCCTTGCCCATTGTCCATTTATATACGGGTTTAAGAGCAAACCACAGGCCACCCTGGTCTCCGGCTACACCTCGATACACCCCGACGCCGGAGCCGCGTCTTAAAATCGTTGATTATTTTAGCATATAGTGTAATTTACTACGCGATTTATTCGAGAGTCTCATTGATCGCATTGTGGCCATCTTGGCCTAAACTGACTAAAGCGACACCAAGCGTTTGCTTTGAATACTATTTATTTTACACTATACCTCACATCTACGCAGTCTGCTATGAAGCTATGCGCATTGAATTCCCAGCCGAATAATTAACTCTTTACTAATGTCCTATTGAATAAGATTGATTCTAAAAAGTAAAAGAAGGAAAATATGAAAGATATTGGTGAGAGGTTAATAGCGTGACAGATAGATAGATAATCAGAGAGAGAGAGAGAGAGAAAGAGAATGAGAGGTAGAGAGAGAGAGAGGGAGAAACAGAGTGAGTGAGTGGGTGATATAGAAGTCAATCAGTGCGAAAAGGGAGAGAATGAGCAAAAATATAATATGAACAGAATTAAATTTTAAAACTAATGCATAATATACTAGACTACCAGAATGCGTTGATAGTTTGTACCTACTTTCCACAATTCCAATTATTATACAATTCCTCTTATTGTTTTTACTTTAATAACAATTTAAACTATAATTTAAAATTTACTAAACATTATACTATTTCACAGTAGAAAATTGGTATCTATTAATATCTTATAACCATCGAATCCAATATTTTTATTATAAAACTCTTATTACACTAAATTTATAAAATTGAATACTGTATAAATATTTCAATAAAAATAACACATTAATTATTGAAATTATTTTTTTATTTTAGTTATTAAAATATAAAACATGTTTACATTAATTATTTAGTATTTAAATATTAAAAGATTTTTTAATGTATATTTTCTATGATTGAAATAATTATAACTTATTATTAATTACGTAAAAAATTATAACGTGTTTAATAAAGTTTTGTAACAACACATCACAAATATTTAAAAACTTACAAATAATTTTAATAACATAACATATATATATATATATATAAACGGATTTATTAAAAATGTAATATTTAAATAAATAATTTCAAGTAATAAAAAATTGTATTTTATTGTTAAATTATCATAATTAATAAATTTCCTTTGTATAATCATTCACTGTAAATGCAATTATTATTAGGTTCAAATTATTAAAAATAATTATATATAAAACTATAGTAAATTATTATATATAAAGCTATAATAAATAATTATATATGTATTAATTTCTTTGTTTAACAGTACGAAAAAAACTAAACGAGTATTGTAAATATTTTTAATATGTTATCACAGGTAAAAGCAATGTTAAACACATGATTGACTATTTCAAATAAATCACAAGATTTAACATATTTTTAAGTTTGTTTATAAAAAAATAATAGTAGTTTAAATATTAAATATTCCTTCTTTTATTATTGTTTTTATAATAAAATTAATTTCAAACAACAATTCATAATTTCAAAGTAAATGTAATAAAACGAATATATAATATAAATAATACACGAATTTAAACTAAATTTAAACTAAAAAGCATATATAGTGTTCCAAACATAAAATGTTCATATATTTAATAGGTTAATTTATGAATTATTTCTTACAATTAATTTGAGAACAATAACCTATACTTTTTCGTAATGATTTGAAATATCTAGCAACATATAACTAAACAAAATGTTCGTTCTAAAATAGTTGTTCCTATAGATATTTTTATCTCCTATATAAAAAATATATTGAAATATATAATGTAAATTCGTAACTCTAATTATAGTATATAAATTGAACTTTATATTTAAAATTTAATAAACTCAAAACAATTCTTTTAATTTTTTTAATTTTCTTTTTACCATTTTTCGAATTATTTTGTTTACATAATTTATTGTATTAAACGCTATGATACTAAAACAAAATAAAAATGAAAAATTTTTATCGACATTGCTATCAAAAATAGGGTAATTACTATTTTAATGAATTTCACCAGAAACACGATTAATATTTCCTAAGAAACATGTATAGAGAAACAAATGTCAGAAGTAAAGAAAGACAACCAATCTTGTTAGAATGCATATTATTGCTTTTAAAAACTATTTCTACAATTATTTTTATTTCACTTCTTATAATTTAATAATGGTATTAATGTTTTATATATATGAAATACCTAAAACATGTATTAAAGTATTATAAGTACTACTCAACACAGCATCGTTGTCTGTCACAAAAAAATCTTTTTAAGGTTTTAAGATTTGAAGTTGGGTTTGTTTACCAAAAAAATGTATAAAGAATATAATAACAAATTAAACTATACTGACATGATATATGAAAAGTTCAATGTATTTTCGATTCTGCGCTGTACTAATTCTTTATTGGTTGAGTATAGTAAATATTCAAAATAAAGGCTTACCCTTATCAACACATTTCAAAAACAGTAAATATGATTCGTATTTTTTATGAAAGTTTAATACTATTAATATGTAGTTATCTGTTATACTGCAAAGGAATAAAAATTCCAGAAAAAAGTCTGCACGTGTCAAGTAAATTACCTAACCTAAGTTTTTTTTAAGTGTATAAGAACCGTTTAATTAATTATACTACATTTATTTTGAACATTATAATTATAATTAATAAAGTACTACTTCTTATATACAAAATTTAATTTTTGTATTCAATATCTAGATAGTTAACAATTTTACTATAAATCATTTAATATTTATAAACAAAGCGAAAATGTAGATTTGTTTTTTTTTTATTTTAGATGGTGATATAAAAATTATTTCCCTGAGTAATTATAGTACATCAATATTAGAGGAACAAGCATTTATGCATCTAATAAACATAAATAATCACACTAATTTTATAATCCATATTAGTGATATACCTGAGAAAGTATCTTTTATTATTATACAAGTTCATACTTATGTATATAGTGTATTATTATCCTATGATAGAAATATAATAGATGAAGTACCTAGAAAGTATGTAAATGGTACAAATATTGGGCTTTTCATTAAAACTAATAAGAATAACACTGAAGTTTATGTCACCAATAAAAATTCATTTATAGTACATGGTTTGATAGCTGTAGTAGCTTATACAAAGAATGGTAAGTTTAATTACAAATATTTGTAAGATAGTATCATCAGAATCAAAGTGATAATTTATAATTTTATAAGTGGTTAATAAATTTTGTTTAATTATTAGAATATGATATAATATTATTGATATAATATTATACTTAATAAAATATATTTATTGAGCTATTAATCTTTGAATATCAAAGAATATAGAATTTTGTATGTTTATGTATTATCATTTGTATCCAACTTGATTGTAGATGTAAATATATATTTAAATTATAATTATTTAATTCATATCTTTATAAACTAATCTAAGCTATATATTAATTTTAGCGACGCCTTAATTACAATTTTGATATATTTTTGTATTGAAATAAATTTATGTAAATTAATGGAATAAAAATATAATAAATCATAATTATACAATTATTATTTATCTAATAAATGCTATCATTAATTATATATATATATATATATATATATATATATATATATAATATATAGCTAAATTATTTTTAATAACTATATATACCTATTAATTATGTAGTATGGTACAGAAAATTTAAAATCTACACAAAAAACGGTAATCAACATATTGAAATTAAAATTTTTAATAACTTAATTTTTGCGTTACAACTTTTTTTTAATGTACCAAATAAAACAATTCTACATTAATTAAATTGTATCATAATAATGAAAATTTGTTAATACATATAAAATATGAATTAAGATTCATTGTATAACAATGTAATAAAATTAATTGTATTATTATATTTCTATTATTACAAATATATATTACATCAAAAAGTTTATTACTACATATTTTGTTATTAAATTCATTTGAATTTTATGTACAAAATTTTAGAAATACTTATGAATACATTGCACATGAATTATTAATTTGTCATAATCATTTGTGGAATCAATACAATCATTAGCAGATAAAGTTGGTGGGCGGTAAAAGCAACTTTTCATATTGAAATCAAATCGGTTTATACTATTGAAAATGCTAAAATAATTTATATCATTGGAATATTTTTTTATCTTATTAATTTTGCACAGCATATTAATATGCATATTTATTCATTTATTTATGTGTATTTAGTAGTGTAGAGAATTTAAATGTAAGCTAAGCTCTTTATTTATAATAAAAAATCTTAATTGATTTTTTATACATAGTATTAAATAAATAAGAAAAATACTAAGCTGATTCTAAAATAGATGAGTGCATGTATGCGCGCGCACATACGTGTTTTCTTTATTTTATAAAAGTAAATGTTTTATAACTATTAAGATATTTTTGCATAAATATATTTATATAAATATACATTTATATATTAAAGCATAAATAATGTTCAATTACTTTTTATATTACATTAAATTAAACATTTTTTTATACGATATTGAAAGTAAACACCAAATATGTTTTAAAACTTATTTATTAATTAACCATATTCCTTTCAATACTTTATCATAAAATTGTATGCTGCAGCAGTAGGCAAATACTAAAAGATACAAAACTGGTTTTTGAACAAAAATCCATGTAATATATTTCATATTCATAAGATGTTAATATCCTATAATTTATGAAATAAATATTAAGAAAAAATACTAGATGTTATAATGTTAATTTAAAAATATTAGCTTTTATATTTTAATATCTTTATTCTTAAAATTTCGACTAAACAAGTTTTTCATAAATTTTTTATCTGAATATTTTTTTGATTATATTATTTTAATATATTTTTGTCTCATTATTATATTATTATAATACATTTTTATTTATTTTTTTATTGTACTATATGAATTTCCAGATTGAACTGTATAATTTTAAAGTAATTACATTCAAATAAAATTTCTGGTAATTGTGTTGAATAAAATCGTTAAAAAAAATTTTTACTATAATTTTAATACTTATGCAAAAAATCATTAGTCTCTTTCTGTTCAATCAAAAAATGCCATTTCATAATAAAAATTGAGATATTGCCAGAATTTTTAATAATATTACATTAATGACTAGCGATCAATATATATATATCCAGATATGTATTAGTACAAAAATAATTAATACTGTTAATTAATTATAATTTCCAATAAATTTATTTTTATTATTTTCTAAATATATTCAAGTAGATTTTTGAAAATTTAACTATATGTATCATAATAAAATCTTATAATATTTATAATTCCTTTCTATACAGTATATATGTTTTCGTTGACTTACTATTTTCATGAGTAAGACTGTTATTAACTAATAAATAAAAAAATTTGTGTCTGTATATAAATATACAGAAATGAATAATGTTTTTGAAGGTACTTGTAAATTGTGATATGATGGTTTAGTAAGTACTTGATGATTCTGTCCGGACACTTCCTTCTAAACACTATAAGTATACATTAGTGTGGCCTATTGTTGACAAATTCAACATAATTACAAAAAAAATTTAATTAAGTCTTGTAGAAAAAATTGTTATTTCAATACTATAAAAAATATTATCAATAACATTACCAAAAATATTTCAGACAAACTATTTACCAAGAAGCTATGTTATCCAAAACATTTTTTTATTATAAATTTATTACACATATGTATATAAATAATTATTAATAAATATTAAACATTTTTTTAGGCTTAACTTGTATTTGATAAAAATAAAAATAGTATAAATCTGTTTAATAAAATTGCATGAATGTTTTTATACATTAAATAATAATGAAAGTCAACGCTTTTATAATAATAATTAATATATTTGATATTTAACTCAATTGCTTCATTTATATAGCACCTTATCCGGGTGGTTGTAACATGGAGTTTAATATCGAAAAGTCACCATTTCAAAAACTGGTATATAATAAAGATATCATAATTGTCGACGCTCAACCAGCCTCTATACCGATCATTGGAAATATTCAACCGCTTTGCGAAAACCATCCTGTACAACATGATACTTATCGCATGTATATATCAGAACATGATTTCAGTAAGGAATCATACTTCTTATCTATTAGTCAAATGCTCACTGTCCAAAGCATTAAAAAAAATGCAAATTTTGTGAGTATCTTATTTATATACAATTGTATATTTTGTGCACATTTTTATTTTATTATGTGCACACTTGTATGCGTTTTTGTAAAAAGCATTTAAAAATACTCTAAGCAATATTATCTATTACTATATATGTACATTATATTAAAAGAGATTAGCAAATTAAAATTTTCATAAAGTTTTTATTGGATTTTAGAATTTAGGTTATTATTCATAAATTATATATCTTTATAATTTTTTTAAGTTTTTCTTATCTCTTGCTCACTTTGTAAATTCGCAGTAATTGAGAAAAAATATTATAAAAGATTAAATATTTCAATTGATAGAAATAGTTAAAGAATTAAGCTTTTAAATCCGAAAGTTTACATTAAATAACATTTTCTCTTTTTGCTCTTCATTCGATTTTTTTTTATCTTAAATAATGAATACGATATAATTCTTATACACATGTTAATATCTTTCTATTATTATATATAGAAATATATAGAAAAATATATACAAATTAAAATAATTTTCGATGTATATTTATAATTAAATCTGTGCATATGTATAATTATTTTATATTGTTTGAAATGATTAATTAATAGTAATTACCCATGAAGTAAAATTTATATTTATAAAAATGTCCTGTTCATAAATGATATTGTAAGTTATTAATAATAATAACTTTAAACAAATGTAATTGTTAAATTACTTGACTTTAAAATACGTAAGTATAGAAAATTTATGTAAAATAATTTTTATAATGTTCGAAAGAAAATTTTTAAATAAAAATCTGCCATTTCTCGGAGTGAAATGCTTTTTTATAAGAGTGCATACGATCCTATAAAATGTAAAATTTTTCAAAACTTAAAAATTGTACTAAAAAAAAATAAGCGTTTACGAAATTAAAATATTCTTTTATGTATATATTGTTTTCGATATGTATTATCTATTTAATAAAACATTAAAAATACTCATGATACAAAAATACTAATATTACTTAAATTATAACACAGATTTTTTGATTAAATGAAATTATTACAGACTGTCGCTTTTTTTTAGCAAAACACTTTATATGCAATATAATACAATATAGAATATAATTTGAAAATACTATATTAATCTATACTAATAAAAAAGCACCCTGAAATTTTAACATATAAATTCTATTTTATGTAATGTTGTTAATTTTAAATGACTTATTACAGAAGACCTTTAAATTTCATATCTAATATTCTTTTATGCATACTTTTCTTTTAATATAAAAATCTATTTTCACTTTTGACTAATACGAAAATTTTAAATTTAATTCTTATTAAAATTCTGTAAATCCAAATATATAACTTGTTTTATAGCAAATTTTATTATCTTATAATTTCATATATTACAAAATTCTGTATAATCGATAGTATATATAACATACATCGTATAATATATTAATATATTTTATGATTTATGGATATACATTAATGTAGGTGGCAAAGAACATACAATACTATATAATAAATTTATATAAATTATATTATATATTTAGAAGTTTCGATATTTTATGAATAACATATATAACGTAATAATGATTGTTTATAATTTAATTTATTTGCTTTTCTTAACAGTAAATACTAATAGTACAAGAATAACCTTTGTTTATGAAAAAAATTGTTTTTAATAAAAATAAATTCTTCCAATATAAAAGATAATATCAGAATAAAAATAGAACACAAAAAGAAGAGATGATTAAAAAAAATATTTTTCTGTCTTTGTAAAGATTTATTTGTAAACAATTTATATATATAAAACAAAAATATTCTTAACTTAATTTTATACTTTAGATACCAATGTCCTTGTTCGGGTCTAAAATGAGACGCATGTATAGCTTATATCCTGGAACGGGGTCTGTTTACGGCATCGTATCGCACATAGCTAATTATTCTTCTGCTTATGTACCCATTTTCACGTATGGATATGCTGCTTCACCATGTATGAAATATTTTTTATAAAATCTAAATATTTTATATAAGATTCAAATAAAAATAAAAATTAACAATAATTAAAATACTAAATAAATTATAGTATTAAATGAATTAGTATAATCTATTTATGTGAGTGTATGTAGACTGTACTTAATTAAAATACATATACTTAATTTAAATGTAAATTTAAATTAAAAACTCAGGTTTAACAAATGATTCTCATTAATCCATCTAGTATTTTTTTATTTTATTGATCACATTTTGTTCAAATTTAATGCACTTTGATATTGTAAATTCTAGAAAGAAGTTATTTTATATATTATCTTATGACCTTAAATTATATAGTGAATAATATTATAATGTGTTTATTATAGTACACATTTGTCATAAAATCATAATTTTTTTAAAATTTGATAATTAAAAATGACAGTCATTCTTGTTTGATTTTAGTATCCATGACTGATAAAGTATTTTCAATACTAAGTTTTATCTTAGGGGTTTTCTTAGCAACTTGTGGAAGCTATTATAATGATATATCAATGTTTTTCGTGACAATGATGTTTGGAGCTTATTTTGGTTATATATTTATTATTATATTATCTTCTTATACCGGAATTGTTGTTACAGGTAGAGTAAAACAACATTTTATGTCAATGTTTAAAATTTTATGAAACCATGATTTTGAGATGTTACTTTATTTCAGATATTCTGCTATTGGCTATTTTTCTCGGGATATTAGCAAGCTTACTATGGTTTTTCTTAAGACTTAAAAGTACGATTCCATCTATGGTTGTCTTAGTGATAACTCTTGGAACATTTTTATTTAATATCTTCTATTTCACTATACCAGGTATAATAGCTAACTCTGATGGAAATATCACACATAACTTGTTCAATAAAAATATGTTTTTATTTTGATTTAAAATTCTCCGAGATTTGGAAAATTACATTTTTTTATCATATTATTAAGTAAGTGAACAAGTAAAAAAATAAAATGAGAAAAGAAGTAATGGAGAGTGGGAAAACCTAGAACGACAATGAAACTATTACAAATTATATAAAATACAAAGGATAATTTAAAATATTACTAAACTCCGGGAAAAATAGATATAAAATGTAGTGTAACCTTGAGGTTAGTATCTAAGTTTAGTTAAGGGATGAATGTTTTGACCCACAGTCAGTAGCCATCTATGGTATGCTCCCCCTATAGTTCTATCAATATTGTTTGCTCATGTGGAAACTTCACTTTCAGAATCTCTGCTTGCCTATCTCGCTATTCTCACCATTACTTTCTTTCTCTTTTTCTCACTCACTTTTCAGTCCATCTTCAGTTTAACCAATGTCCTTCTCTCCAGCTAACTTTTATCCATTTCTATGTATATATTCATGCAAAAAATTGCTATAAATAAAAAATATTAAATTATATATGTTATTTTAATATCTCTTACAACTAACTTGAATGGAAAAAATCCACATTCATATAATTGTACTATTATGTTTGTTAAGAAAGGAAAATACTTCATTACATAAAATTTAAAAAGCAAAATTATTTCTTACATAAATTATAATTAATATATTATTTCATGTATTGAAATGCTGCTAACATTTTTTTATTTTAAATAATTTTCAAAATATATTGTTTCCGTAGAAATCCGCGTGTTCGTACAAATCGATTTTTATTTTTGAACATATATACATTTATAGTTAATATTTTTCAAAACCTTTCCTTAAAGTATATTTTATTTTAGTGGGAATACTGTATCTTGAAAATAATGCATATTTTTGGTTAATATATATTGTATTTATCATGCTTGTCATGATGTTTCATGTAATTATACCACTTGGCAACAATTTTTGTTTTTCATTAATTGGAGCATATGCCACTGTATTTTCTATTGATATCTTTGTTGGATCATATCTCAAATATATATTAATTAATGGCATACGACGAGCTATTGTGTCAAATTTTAATATTGCAGTTGTTCAACCACCCTATCAATATAAAGGTATATAGAATATATGAATACTAAAATTTAGATATTATTTCAATCCCTTTAAATATTATTTAAATATTTTACAGATATATTGCTTACCATCTTCTGGATTTTTCTTGCAACTTTTAAATCATGGAGAATATATGTAATCAATTGGACTCTCTGTCGTTATTGTCAAATTAAGAACGGTTATGTTGAACTAGTACCATTATTACAAAACGAGCGAACTGTTCGCTATAGAAGCGGATAAAAACGTTGTCTTAAATAAATAATAAAATGATATATTTTTAAAAATAAATTATTTTTCGACTATTATTTTCTAAATATATAATTTAACAATACAGAAAAAAATTTTAGTTATTTAATTTAACAAAGTAAGTTTATAAATTGCTACAATTTAAAAAAATATAATTTAAAATTGAGTGGATATAATATTTCGAATAATCTAAATATGTACTTAATATGAATATTATTAATAAATAGATGAGAATGAATAGTATGCATATATACACTCGCATATATATATTTAAAATTTTATGTAGATTTACATTGAATTTATCCTCATTTTTAAATATTATGTTGCAATGTACAAAAAAATCAGTTTCGATTTTCAACTTATGTCAATAATAATATTTAAAAAGTATTAACAGTACTTAAAATATATATTAATAAAAAAATTTTATTAACATGAAAGTTATAAAAATTATGAAATTAAATTTTAATAATTTATCAAATAAAATACAAATAATTAATTATGTTTATAGTAATAAATAATAAATCAAAACATAAATTATATTTTTATAAAAAAATTTACATTAAAAGAGAAAATCACAGTAACATTTATTTTAATTTCAATTTGCAGCTTTTCACTCGATTTACTGTAAGTTATTACAATAATTTTATGATTTTGTAAGTACACAAAACTTGTACGTTCATACATTCGTATGATTTCATTACTTTATACTCGTGCAATATAATCGCCGCTGTTTGAATTAATTAACATTTATTGAATCAAGATAATTGTGACACCTAATAATTTGTTTTTGCGTCTTCTTTAATGATTATTACTTACAATCTTAAGAGGTAATCACAGCAACAATATTTTTCCTAATATTCACAACACATATATTGGATTACTGCCGTGATATAATTTTATTTAAATATACTTATTAATTTATTGCTTTACACTAGTACACGATGATTTCATTTTATAATTGTTATTACAGATAGTGATGGGTACGATAACAGTGCATCATTAAAGCTCAAATTAGTATGGCATTCGTGCATGCATAGTTATATGTGCGAATGAAACTTGATACACCGCATGTGCGATTGTGTTATAGAAATATAATTGATATAGTGCTCAATAATTTTAATTTATTCTATTTATTAAATCACATAATTATGCATGAAAATAGAACTCGAAATAAAATGTAATTACTTTTATTTCATTGAAAAGAATTAAAACACTAAAAACTACATTTTTAAATTTTATATATTTTTTAAATTGAATAATATTTTTATTTACAAAAAAATTATACAAGGTATTTATTTAAGTTGTTAAATTATGTAATTTTAAACAAAAGTAAGGTGTAAAAAAATATTTATAATTTTATACATTTATTTTATAGTTACAATAATTAATTTTAGAGTTATAATAATATGTAATATAAAACATAATATTTGAAGGTGCATTAAATTCACACACTGTACTGTACGGAATAAATGTTTACCTTTCAAGGGCATTCATTTTTCGCTGATAAAAAGCCTTTTACACGGAACTAAAAAAAAAAATCTTCTTAATAAACACACATACAGTAATAAAAACACAGCGAAACAAATAATAATTTGCATAATGGGAGCTAACTTTTCATTTCTCATGATTAGATTCTCAATCGTATATTAATACAAACGAACAGCAGACGTTCTTTGAAGCACTTAAAAAACTCGCGCGCACGCAGATATACTACTTTAATTTTAAATTGTATATACCTTCAATCCTGTATCGTAAAATTATTAAAAAACAAAATAGTTCCTTGTAAGATATTTACTTGTTTAATATACTTGGCATTTACGTTTACTGTATCTTACATTATGTCACTCTAAATGCCCTATTCGTTTTTTTATTTCTCCAAAATTGTTTATTTACATGCTCAATAAAATTTTTAATTTATATTCGCGATATTAAAGTATTGTAGCCAATGCTTTAAAAGTTATTTAAAACATTATATATATATATATATATATATATATATATATTAAAACGAAATAAGTGGGTTTAATTTTTAATAATTACTAAAACTAAATAGTTATACCGAATTTTTGCAATTAATAATCACTAAATACAATGTAGAAGAAAACTTTCAATATAATAAAATATTTCAAATAAAATAATCGTAGAAAATATAGAGATGTGTAGTTGTATTATGATTGATATAATCTTTTCCTTTATTAATAACCATATGATTGTTAGTTGCATGAAGTCAACCAATTATTTGTTCTTAATTACTTTATTAATTATAATTGATATTTTTATGGTTGAAATGAAATCATATCGATTTTATTTCAATATTTTCAAATACATAAAAATCAATTTTCAATTTATTTTTTTTTAAATTGCACAAAATGATAAAATGTAATTTATATATATATATTTGCTTTATTAAAGTATTGCATTATGTTTTAATTTATTTTATGCCTTGATTAAAAAATCTTATGTATCCTAATGGTATTATTATTCATTGACATTATATTCACTAGAATTTGGATACCTATCAATTAATTTATCAAAAGAAATTAGAAGAAAAATTATAGTTTAAAATATTTTTTGAATAGGTTGCATTCAATATTCATTTTTTAGTATGAAAAATTAAATATTTATAAAATTTAATGAAATCATTGCTCATTTTATATAATCCAATGAATATATTTTTAAACATGATAAAATTATTTTCTATTTAATTTAAAGGTAATTAGTTTTTTTGTTTAGAGATAAATAATCTAAAAACATAAAAAATATCTTTCAAATAATATAAATAATATAATTTAAAAATAAATTGTTACATACACTGTTGTTTAAATAAATGTTTGATTATCATAATTATGGAATAACTGAAAAATACTTTTAAAATTTTTTAATTTTCAAATATTTTTTATAATTTTTTGTACAAACTAATAAGTATTTTATTTCATTTGTTTATGATTGAATGTTTCAATATTTGTTATTACAAATGAATACTATTTTTGATAACAGAGCTCTAAAACTAAACATGAAATACATATAGATATAGATTTTGATCATTTTCATTGATCAAATATAAATAATAAAAATTTGAATGGCACAGTTATTGGTGTTTATTGAATTGTATATATGACTAATGAAACTATATTTTTGACTGAACCCTAAGTGTATATATTAGTTTGTATGCGTGCGCTTGTGCATTAGTCTGTATATTTGTATAATATAGGTATGTGTATGTTAAGAATAAACATTGAATACAATAATCTTTATATAATTATGTATACAGAGTGAATACGTGTATTTTTTGGAGGATGGCGTCTTATGCCTACATTTTGTGGTTACTTTATATATCTTTAATTATTCTTTATTTATTTTGTAATTAAACTTATTTATTTTTAATATATACACTACACTGCAAATTTTGCTGGTTCTAATATACACTAAGATTTAATATAAGTATAACAAATTCTATATTACAATGTGTTCTTCTGTACAGAATAAAGAACAAAATAACGTATTGCCGTCAATGAAGGACTTTATCTTTTACAAATAGTAGAGGATCGACTTTGCAGAATCTATTACAGATTAAAAAATTTTTTCATATATTTATTTACTCTTTTTGTATTTAATTTAATTTACAAATGCTTTCATTATATCATACATTTTGATATTTGCAAACACAAATTTACTATTATGTCCTATAAAATTTTTCGATAAAAATGATTTTTAAATCTTTACATGCGTTTTCCGTGAAATTATTATATAAAAATGTTAGTTTTATTTATTTCTCAAATTAGCTTTAATTTAAATTTAAAAACTTTAAACATTTATGAAGTATTATTAATTATTATTAAATATAAAATATTTATATTATTATATTAAATTATATTATTATAGTAAATTAATTATAAAAAATAATAAAATTAAAAAAATTTTAACAATATCAGTATTTATTGAATTTAGTGCATACGTAACATTATATTGTAAATATGTTATGTTGTAATTATGTTAATATTGTAATTATGTTACAAAAACACGTAATTAACATAAATTTAAAGATTATTTATTTTTAATTTTTTTAAATTTACAAACAAATTGTATTAAAACATACTCGAATTATTAAATTTATAAATAAAATTATAAATTAAATAAATAAATTTTTATAAAATAAATAACTGAAATTATAAAATAAATAAATAAAATTATAAAATAAATAAATAAAATTTATAAATTAACAACATCAATAAAACTCAGTAATAAATTGTGAATTTTAAAATATGAAAATTCGTTGGACACAAAAAGTTGTAAAAGGATTTGAAAAGGGATAATATTCTTTATTTTTAATAACTTGTTATAAATTTTTTTCACATCTATTTATTTATTCTTTTTCATTCATCTGTTTTCACCTATAAATATTTTTAGTATTATGCATAATGACGAAAATTTGATTTCTAGAAAATGAATGTTTAAAATATTCAGGATTTTAAAAAATATTCACAATACTTAAGTATACTTTTTAAAGTAAAATAATTGTCTGTCTTATGATCTAACGATTATTAAGCTAATCTCGAGAAATCAAAAGAAATAAATTTGGAATAGAACACCAACAAGATATTTCACCATGCAACTATTAAATTTATACACAGAAATGCTATAGGATACCGCCATCTCGTTAGAGCTAAGTGCAATGGCCGATCGACTAGAAATAAGTTGTACGGCCCTCGTCAACTACCTATGTCCTACGAATCAATTATCCGTCCCAATTTTACTCTCCTTCTGAGGCCTTCATGCATCGTAAATATAATATGTATCTCCATGATTGTCTGTTAATTTAGACGATTTTCGGTTTTAACAAAACACGAACCTATAGCCGAAGATTAATCAAAGTTAAAAAGATTTTTTACTACTCAAATTTCTATAGCTTCGAAAACTTAGTAGATACTCCGTTAACCCGTCGCTTACCTTCTTCGGTTAGATTTACTTGATCCCATTTATTCATTCGAATTACATATACGATTAACACTACTTATATCGACCTTTAATAACAACTAGTGAAAAAAGTGCACAAGATATCAATGTCTATCCAAATTAATGCTTTTCTTTTTTATTCGTTTTTTCAATCGGTAATTCAATTAAGTTTGTTATGAAAGTGATTATTTTCGTGCGTTTTTTTTCTCAAAGGATTTTTACCTTTTCCAAGATCTATTATATGATTTGTTATTATTACAATTTATTTTCTGAGTTGAAGAAAGCTATGATTCATAAGAATTTTATTAATAATGAAAAAGAGGCCATTTAAGAAACTTCGTCACTGTAAAATTGTATTACTTCGTTAATAGTATTTAATTTATTAATAAATAAAATTTGTATTGCAACATTATCAATAGTTATATTAATTAATAAACCAAAATTCAAGCTATTCATATTTGTGATGTTTTATTAGGCATTGATATATTAAGTTGGGAAACTATGTAGAGTTCTGATATAACTGCACTCCAAATAAAAAGTATATAACTAAAATAATATGCAAAATTATTATATAAAATAAAATATAATTTATTTAATAAATTTAATAAAATTATTATGCTTATTAATACATTAAATAGAATTCTTAAGATTAAACTTAAGTTTATGTTTAATCATTATATCAATAAAAGGACTTGAAAAGCAATATATATTATTAGAAAGTAGTCTGTAATTAACTAGAATTAAAGATTTTATAACATAATATTGAAATAAAATTAAAATTAAAGCAATCATAAATCTAAAATACTTTCTTGAAAAATGGCATTATACTTTCGAACACTCTGCGCAAAAAATGTCAAGCATTTGCACGGAAAACGCCTATACAGAAAGTATCTTAAATCTTTAATCACATGCGCCTTCGCCTTGAGTTGTATACATAATGTTTTTAAGCGAGTAAAAAAACAATACCTGTTACTATATTTTAGATATACTCATCCATACTATAAAAAGTTAATAAACGAAAAATATTTCTTCTGCGAATCGTTATTTTTTATCAATACATTTGCATTGTAATTAATAAACGCAAATCTTATAAAGGAAAATTTGTTCAAACAGAAGAAACAAATACAGCTGAGAGAGCAACGACAAATTTAAGGTGTAAAGAAACCAGATGCAAAAAAAACTCCAAAAATATAAATAATGCGAGCCTTGATGCGAATCTCAGCGTAGCGATTCTAGGAGGTAAAACTTTTACAAATCCCTTTTCATTCGAGGTCTTTCAGTATTATTTGAATTTAAACAATAATCATGTTTCACTCGCTTGTATCAGAATTGTATAACCGTGTGCTGTCCGGCGTTGTACTTGCGGCTGGTGTTCCGACGGAAACCGCTGTTGAATGCGCGCTCGGTATCAGCTCTGAATGCGTTGATGCCTGAATATGTTGTTGTTGAAGGTGACTGATACCAAGACTAGCTAGTAATTGAGGCCTTGCCGTATGACCCGCTGATGAAATATTTGGAGAGGAGGTGGATGGAGTCAGTGGTGGGCTCTCCTGGCCGACGAGCAAACTCGCGGGCGGGAACCCGAAGAGCTGAGATCACTGGAGTCGTGGCCAATAGTTTCCCGTCAAGTCTGGGGTCTGCGAGGGAATCTGCACCGGGACTGATACGCCTGCTGATATTACACCTGTAATGATAAAGCAAACGACGCATATATTTGTTTGCCATCGAAAAAGCTCTCTCTCTCTTTCGCTCTCACCGTTTGTAACAGATATTGACATTTAAATATATAGCTGATCTATGAAGTACAAGTTAACGATCCCGCATAAAAATTTGAAAATAATAAAAAATATAGTTATTATACTTATCTCATTTCATTGAATAAAAATTGATAGTAATTATGTAATATTTTAATTTAAAAAATGTTTAATATATATTTATTAATAATGATTATTCTTTTATTAATTATATTATTCTTTAAAAATTTCTATAAAAATAAAACTTTTATAGAATAATTATAGAAAACGAAATGCATTTTGTTCATATACTACATATGTATATGTACATACGGACGTATGACCATACAGATATATAGGCATGCAGAGGAATGGCGCTAAAACACGAGTACATACACATTATATAATATCATCAAGAGAACGATATAATAACGTTTAGTATCCAGCTACTGTCGACGTATTCCCTCCCCCTTTTAAGCTTTCTGTTCGCACGTTATTGAGCGTTTGCTCATCAGAATCAAGATGTAACACATCTATATCCACATTTTCATCAGTCATATCTCAACAACTTTATATTTTATTTCTTGTTTTCTATTTGTTACTAAAGAAAGAGATAAAATTAAAAGATACTTATATATTTAATTCTAAAAGAGAAAAAAATCATCAAACTGACAGTTTTACAGCTACCAAGGAATAAAACAGAAGATAGTTCTAAAATATAAGTTAAGCCAATATAACTAAACAAATATAGTACATGAGAGAAATAATGTAATGAGAGTACGGTAGAAAAGAAAAGTAAATGAATGATTTACTAAAAAACAAAAAGAGAGTGAAGAAACATACGTAATAAATGCGTTAAAAGTGTGACGATTGAGAAAATTAAATATTTCTTTTAAAACCTTTATACTATAAAGAGTTATCTTCCTTTAATTCACTCTTATATTTTCGTCAATTTTCTCTTACTTGTATGATGGACTTTCCCAGAAGTTCTCACGTTTTACTTTTTGTTTACGATTTTTCCTTTTTTGTATCAACACATTCAGACCATGATGCTATGCTCGATTTATTTTAAGATCTTTTTATTTAAAAGTTAGTATTCATTTTTCTTTTATCTACACAGAATATACAAACGTATTATTACCATCTTACTAGCTAAACTACTTTTTAAGATTGAATAATCATGTATTATCTACTAGAATTGAATACATTAATCTTGTAAAAGTATTTAATTTAGTCATCGTTATATTTAATTTTATCATTTATTATATGTATATTATTTTAATTATATATTGTTATTAATTTGATTTATGTTGAAGAATAACTAGTACAAATATTGAATATATATAATCAAATATATTAGTAATTCTTTTATAGTACTTTAATAAACCATTTGAACTAATATGCATTTAAAACTCATCAAATTCGTATCACGAACTATTTCATTACACTATTTTATTCGATTTAATATTATTTATGTGTATAGAATTAATTAATTTGTTATTAGACATTAAATTTTATAAGTCTAATAATAAATACTTTAAATATAAATATTTTTAATAATGATTGCAATTTAAATAAAATATTATTGTTATATGAGTATTTTTATCTTATAAACATAAATTCTCATTCTGTTAAAAATAAACAATTAGATCGATATAAAATAATTCGATTTGATTATATATATCATAGACGTCGGCTTTATTTTGCTTTACTTTTATGTTTGGTACATTATAAATATATGAATCAAAATAAATTTCAGACCACATAACTAACTATCATTTCTAAATATTTTCGAAAGGCAATAAAGAAAAACTAGTTATTTTTTTGTGTTGCAAATACGTATTTTTGTTAGCTAAATTATAAAATTTGTATTGACTTTCAATTTTAATTATTGAAATTCCTTTATTAAGTTTTATTAAAAATTTATCCTTTTAATAATGAATATTTTCTACTTAATGATATTAATATTTTTATTGAATTTAAATTTTTTTCATTCAAATTATTTTTATGAAACTATATGTGTACTTTTTACAATTTTTCGTATAAATTTTTTATAAGCTATCTTTATCCATCTAGAACCTTATTCTAAACTGCTTAGATGTATACTAATGTGAAAAGATTATAATAGTAATTTTAGGTTGTTATAATTCTCTAGTTTATTGTTTTGTTAATCAAATCAATAATTAATACTCTCAAAACGCTTTTAAATCCACTAACCCTTGGAACTTTCTCTTTCACATTACAAATATTAATATATTAAAATAAACCTATAAATACACTCTTTACAAATATTTATGAATATGAATTTAATTCCAAGTAACTAATAAGGCTTAAAGAATAGTAAAAGAATATTTTTATTGTAAAAATATAAAAATTTCATACAAAAAATTATTTATAATTATAATGTTTAATTGGTTTTCTTTTAAATAAAAAAATTCTAAATTATATTAAAATTCTATATTTATTTTCTAAGTATTTTATTTTGAATATGTATATGTTAATATATTTAAAAAAAGTTATATTGATTTGACTTCTTCCTAGCATCCATATAAAAATTAATTGCATATTAAAAAGGTTATTCTATTTATTTCTAATGTTAAATAATGTACATGTACTTCAATAAATATATATAATTGTTCACATTTATTAAATTTAATATTTATGAAAAATATTTAATATTTGATTCTTTCATATACTTAATATGAAATATTATAATTTTGTAACTTAAAAAGTCACTAAATTACATTTTTACCTGTATAGATCATGAATGAAAAGTATAAATAATAAAAATAAAATTATATTCGTTCTAAAATAATGCCACATATAATTAACTCAAAATTATGTATGTTTAATTTTACATTATAATATATAAAATATCTCTAATATAAAATAAATGTAAACTTTAAAAGATTACAATTTTAAAAGATTACAATTACGTTAAAAGACTTTAAGATTACAATTTTTATAGTTGAATGTAACTATGAATAATGTATACTTGTATTTTAAATAAATCTTTATATTAAATCAATCGATAGATATTTTTATAATATTGTTTCATTTACATATTTAAAGGAATAAATTAAGTAAATAGTTGAAGGTAATCAAAGTATTTGGATTTATTATAAAGTCGTAATTGATAAAAAATTATAAAGTATTATGAGAGACAGTACATATTTAATTTCATTTTATCATAAATATTCATATATATGTACATAAAAGTAATACACTGTTATCGCCATGCTAATTTATAGTGTAATAAGTAATTTAATCAAAATATTAGTACTAAGCAAATTGAGTTATAGTTGTTAGAAACTATTTTGATTTAAATTTATATATGGTAATGCTGTATTTAAAAATCAGATATAATCGTATTTTATCATATCATTGAAAAATTGGTGAGATAAAAGTATTCACGAGTTGATAATGGAAAATTAATGTATTAGAAACTGCAATAGGATTTGTATTAAAATTGAAGACAGAAGACTTACCGGTCGCGGTAGAGGTCGTCGGTTGGTAGGGCGGTGCAGCTGGGCCGGCGGACTGACCTCCGGTGGTACTAGGGGTGCCAGCTACATGAGCACTCCCCGTGATACCACGATGGGGTTGCGAGTGGGCTGCGGCCGATTGGTGAGCCGCGTGTGAATACGACTGCGTGAGTGAGTGCAACGGTTCGTGAAACACATAGGCCGGATAACCCTCGGGACGCTGTTGTAAGCAGCTCCCGCCCATCGAACCCCCCAAGCTACTCGTCATTGAGCTGAAACAAGATAGGTATTTTACATCACTGAGTGACTCTCACTTCCTCATAGATATTAGTTTCTTCTCTATCCAATATTTTCGAATGCCTTTATAATAATCTCTTCTATTCATTGTCCTATCGATATCATATCTGTATTCTTAATACTTATTGTAGAAAAATGTTGAAAGCATGTGAACATTTTTTAATTTATAATGAATTCAAATAGTATAATTATTATTTATTTTTATTTTAAAATTTAACTTGCTTAATTTATAATTTAAATGCTGAATATTATTTTGATTTATTTGCTACAAAGAAATCAAATATTTTTTTATTAATTAACATCGTTTTTTTTAATATCTTAAAATTAAACAAATCCAATTTTATAATTTTTACATTTAAATTAAAAATATTTTTGTATTTGTATTTGAATAAATCATGTATTCTAAGAATTAAAAATAATATAAAGTCATAGATTATTTAATATCGATTCTCATTTATATTATTATGTGATCTTTGAAAAAAAAATAGTTTCTAAATTATTGAACAAATAAATGAAATTGATTTCATTTATCGAAAATATAAATATCAGATTTATTTAAAAAGAGGTAGTTTCTACATTCATTCTCCATATAATTTACATTGTAATTTGTATCAATTTTTATAATGAATGGAAAATCATTAAAATTATTATTGATTCATACATAAACATCATATAAGTATATAAAGAATGGTATAATATGTAGACTTGTATAATAATGGCTTCATACACATATAAAATGTAGCGAATAAACGTATATTGAAAGTTGAACTTTATGCTCTAAATAGTTTATTACGTTTCTAATTATCTTGTAACGTTAATTATTTAACTATTTAAAAGTGTATTATTATATTAAGTTAACTAAGTATTGCAACTAATTTATAATACAATGAAAAATAATTAAAGGAAAAAATAATAAATTTGTACAATATTAAAAAGATATTGAATTTTAAATCTGACGAAATTTTAAAGAAAATCGGTCGAATTAAAACCTTTAAAAATTTAATGATAAGTGATCAGGCAAAACTAATTTAGTTGTCAATATAGAAGAGGTAAACAAGTTACCTGTAAGTATCCGGCATTGTCGCAATCGGTTGCGGTATCGATGAGTACATGGCATTAAAGCCAGCGTTGAGTGGTATCCTTGGTGTGGCTGGAGTTGCAGCGGGTGGTGCCGTTGTCGTGCTACCGCCACTACCACCAGTGCTTGCGCCGCCCACCACCTGGTCAACGGCCGCCCTTCTTTGGTTGCGCAGCTTCTCCTCGCGTCGCCATTTAGCCCGTCGATTACTGAACCACACCTGCAATTAACCAACGGCAAATCGTCATCACACCAATGTGGTTCGTACCATACATTTGGACTAGTTCTCACTCACACAACACTTCTGGCTTTTTTATTATTGCTCTTGAGCAGTTACTTTCTTATTCGTAATCAGTATACTATCAATATATGCATTCCATAATACCGTTGGTTAATCCTGAGTATGTACTTGATATTAAAAATATTCCGGTTAGTAATTTCCAAATGTTAATACAAAACTTGATATATAATTAAATAAGTAGACAAATCGCAGTTTAGTTAGGTTTGCTACTATAACTTATATTCTGCGTATTTTTAATATTTATTTAAGTTATATTTATTTTAAATTGAATTTAAACAGATTTTTCATTTTCATATATTATAATGAAACGTTGACTGTCTACTCTACATCACGGGAGATGATAATACACAAAATTTATTCATAAATAATTATTTTTTGCATAAAATAATTTTTGTTTCATGGCATAATATTATATAATTCGTTTAGTATTTTCTTAATAATTTTAAGTTAATATATATTTATAATTAAATAGAATCAATTTTTTAAAATAATATATATAATATAATTACACTTGGTAAGATATTAAATTTTTAATTTATAAAATAATTTAAAAGAAAAAACATAATTTTTGGTATACATAATATCATATCCAATTTATTTCACAAATATGTCATTGCATTATTGACACATTGCAAGCAAATCTTAAATATCACTAATCATTTCAGTTTCTTCCTTTATTTTTACTTTATTCCTTTTTCTCATCAATAGATACTTTCAAATATTATGTTAAGTCTCTATTTTTTCTAATGGGAGTTCGAGTTATTATATTTTTCTACTTTTTTTATATCTTTATGAAAATGTATAGTGGTCGTATTATATTAGAATTTTTTAGTTTCAATTAAGTAATTAATTAAAAAAAAAAAATTAAATTCCTCCCATTTGCTTTTCATCCTTTACTATTTTTTTAATAGGAATTAAAAATAAACTACCACAAAACATGTATATTGTTGAAAAATTCTATATAAATTCTTATTATTGAGATAAATTTGTAATTCATGCTTCAAATGATTAATAAGAACAAATTATTAAAAATTTAAAAAGTAAATTTTTAAATTTCCAAATAAAAATTTCGAAAAATTTACTTTCTTAGAGTAATTTGTTGATTGCTATGTAATCTCTTATACCATCTCTTACATTATTAAAATTTTTAATACATGGGAATTATTAGATTTATCAACAAAATCAAAATAATAAAATTTTTTATATCTTACAAGACGAGGCATCAGTTTATTCTCCATTTTTTATAAATCTATATTTATTAACAGATTTTTTTTATGCAATTATCAAGTTTAACGTATAAAAATAATTTTCATCATACATTAAACAATGTCCAATAATTAAAATTACATATAATTTGCTAATATTCATAAAAAATTTAATAAAAATGTTATTATACTATTAAGTAATAATTAAACAACTATAATAATCATTTGATAATTTTAATGATATGATAACTATAATTCTTTTGCTATAAAATAATAAATTCTTAATTTGTTACAATTATATTAATGTTTTTTAAAAATCTATTTTTTAGTACTCCAAACAATAAGTAAGCTTCGTAGTTTTTTTATGCAAAACCTAGTTTCTGATCAATTAGTGTAAAACGAAGACATATTGATGGTCAATCTTATTTCGAAAACCTTCGAACGTAAATTTTTAAAACCTATATTTTATTAAATAAACTTTAAGACAAGATCATTATAAATTTCCTACGAATTATTTAATATTGAATATTCAGTATTTAATAATATTATTTATAATAATAATATTAATAAAAATAATTGTGTGTAGAATAAAAAAAAATAGAAATAATGATTCAGAAATACAATTACAAAACCCATTTTTGAAATCCATCGGAATTCTATATTTTTTATTTAAGTCAGTCAAAACCAAAAATATTTTGACAGATTCATTTTTAAACAGTTAATAATTTAACAAGTTATGTAGATTAGAAATTTTTTGTAGAAAATATGACTATTCTCAAATGAAGAAAAGTTTCATATAGAATTTATATAATGAATTTATTTATTTATAAATAATCATATTAACGATTCAAATTTACAATAATTTGAACAAGATTTTTACGAAATTAAAAAGATTTTATGAAGTTTAAAAAAAAGTAATGAAAGAAGAATGAGAAAAGAATAAAATTTATGTGCTTGTCTTTCCTATTTTCTTCATCTTTTCAGTCCGTAAAAATCTAAGCAGTTTATCGTCATCCATATATAACGTCGCCAGAAAGCGTAGAGTTTTAACTACATCCTTTCTTCACCCTTAAAATAAAAGCTTTTTTGCGCATCAACAATTCTCTTAGCAAACTACCTATTTTGCGGGTACTTTTACATACATGTAGAAATCTTACTTTTCTGTTTGTCATAGTTTACATATTTGAACAACTCATATTCTCTTTGCCTTTTTTCACCTCGGCCTTCGACCACACATTATATGATTATTAAAAAAATACAGAATGATAATCATGTTCAGAAAAAATCGTATAGAGAAGAGAAAATGAGACGGCAAGAGGGAAATAATGCAAAGGAAAAATAGGAGGAGGAATGTAGATGGCGCATGATATAGGTAGAAAAGCGGTGGAATAGCCAATCACAGAATGAGCCTCTCGGGGGGCAACGTTGCCATGGTTACACGTCCGCGTCCGAGCTGCTGTTTCCGTACTCGATCCCATATAGGCAGTGGCTAGATTCAGTAAAGCCTTATTCTTGTAAACGTTTATATTCTTCACTTCTGCTGTATACTCGTCTCTATCAATAGCTTTCTTTCCTTTCTTTTTCTTTTTTTATTACCTACTTAGATTTATCTATTTCGAATAATTATACTGAAAATAAACATTGTCTCGAAAGTAATTTATATATACAATTTTCATAGTTCCTCAAAAGTTTTCTATGAAAGATTGATAAATTATACTACAAATATATCTAATTGTTTGATAAATCATAAAATGAAGCATAGACATATAGTAAACACTTTTCAAAAGTAGCTTCGGATCTTATTCTAAATATACTACTGTTAAATTATAATATTATTTATCAAATAAATCTTTTTTTTTTAATTTATACATTCCATCGATATTATAAAATTGAATTTTATATGTATATCTTCCATTTAATATTGCGATTCTAAATTTAAAATTTTATACAACGGAACTAAACATTTCTTCTACAGCGTATTTTCATGTATTTCAATTAGTATATTAAATTCCAAAAAGAACAAACTAAAAGATTTAAAGGCTCTTTCATAAACTCTAAAACAATTTTTAATAATAAAGAAAATGAATGGACTAACTAACAATTGCTCATATCTATAGACTGCATTGATCCTTTTCCATGATGAGACAATGTAGAAGTTAGCCATACGTTAAAAATGCTGCTAAGCTTTGTCGCACACGATGTCTTTTTGCGTAGGTCTTTATATTGTACTCAATATCTGATCAATAGTATATGATTGTTTATAGATTTGTATAAAAAGTTATTTATTATTTTTGGAAATTTTGACAAAAATTAACTTCTAATCAGTATATAAATTTATTAAAATTATTATTAATATACCGATTTAAATATTATTATGTATATAAGCGTTTATTAAAATTTTATTGTAAAATTTTAATTTACTTTATATTAATGAAAATAATTTCTATTTTAATCTTGATATACATTTTATCTTTATTAAATTTTAATTTTCTTTTCTATTTAATTTGTTACTTCTGAGTGTATTTTCTGATCGTCTAAAAAAAATCTACTGTTGACATATATATGTACTTATTTCTATACCTTACTTTTTCTATTCTTCAATTTTCTGTACTTGCTGCGAGATCAATACTGTCGAACAAGGCTGATAAATATGCGTCAATATGGTCCTGTATCGTTTGTCCATCTCTCTAATATTGTATGTCTTTATTTTCTAATTTTATATCTCTTTCTCTTCCCCCTCCTTTTCCATTACATTCTTATTCTCTTGATGCAAGCATATTGATATTTGCTACTCGTTTGTCAAGTACCTCAACTTATCAGAAATTGAAATGATATCATAATTGTAATAACTGTCGAAGACAGAGAAGAGAATCATATGTATTACCGGATATAACAAGCTTGTCAATATAACTCGATAAGATTATATATGCTTTAGCTTATGACTAAAAAATATATATTAATTTTTAAGTCTTCGATTATATCTGCAGCAGATATTAATGAAAATAATACTTAAATATGCATTTAAGTCGAAAAGAATAATATTTTAAGTAAATTCAACATGTATTATAGATTCATTTATATCTGTAATTTTTATATCAATGATTTTAACTCGTATGAGTAACCACATTGGTTATTACTAAATTAAAAAATATTATAAAATCTATTGGAAGTTATGTAACTTTATTCACCACAAGTTTTCAGCTCCTCAATATATTAGTTATACCAAAATTTTCATGCTAATTATCATATAATCACGAATAGTAAATATTTTTCGTAGTTATGTATATCTGTAAAAATGCTGGTCAAAATTTATTTATACTTTTCTTTTCTTTATAAGCCCAGTATGGCACATTGCGTGACATTGATATATGACATTCACATTAAATTTTTTATTTAAGTAAAATTTGCTCATTTTTAATTAGTATCGCAAATTAATTATTTCATGCAAAATATGGAAACCGTATTTTTTTCTATATGTATATAATTCTACGGCTGACATGATACGAATTATACTACTCAATGAATTCATTTTTATCAAATAAATGTTATATAAGAATATCAATTTCTATTATTATAAACCATAATTTATTATTGGTGAAAAAATAACAATTAGAATTAAAATATATGGATATAAAAAAATTATTTTTAAATATTTACAATAATATTATTTTCAATATCATTATTTTCTAAAACACTTTATCAATAATTAACATTAAGACTGCTTAAATATCGATCATTGTAATTATAGTAAATCATAATATTCAATAACTAACATAATATTTCTAAGGAATTAATAATAAATATAAACATTTGTTATTTTATTTTATAATAAAGTAAGCAAATTAAATTTGAGAAAATTAATTATCATATAGAAATATAATTAAAAAAAAACTGATAAATCTATACTTCACCGTAGTTTATAAAAACTAATGTCGTTTTTCGAAGTCTGCTTTTCTCAAATTTTTCTAGTTGTCAGAGATGGATGTCTCCCTTTCGCATTTTATCACACATTATATAGGGCAAGCACAAAATAGTTCTATTTGAGCATATAAGTTTCACTACAAGCGCAATCTTTCACAGCGCTTGAATTGCAGTGGTAATAATGTCCGAATGAAAACGGCACTATAAAAGACAGTATTGCATAGAATTTTTATTACAAAGAATTCCTATTTAATGATCATTAAGACTATTTTTCTCGCTCTAGTTTTAAATTAAATATGAATTAATGCCTTTTAAAATATTTGTAATTATACTTTTTGTTAGAAATGGAAAAAAGTGGAAAATTTAAAACTAAATATAAATATATTTATATATATATTTGTATATATATATATTCTAATAACACTATATAATTCTAATAATACTACAAATTTCAAAGTTGAATATAATAAAATATTCAAATAATATTTTACATTTATCATGGTCCAAAATCTTTAGTAAAATAATGATTTAAAAACCATCAAAGACTCACAATATTTCAAATCATTATAATACAAAAAGTGTGAGAAGTTGTATACTCAGATTACTTTATATTACTGTATACATAACTTTCTACTAAATATAAATGTATTTTAATTTCTTTAATACATATTTAATATCTATAAATACAACTATTCCTAATATATTATCAAGTACAAAATTCAATAAATTATGTATTAAAAAATTTTAATCAACTAATTTTAGAAACAAAATAAAAATTTTTATTGTTTTTAGAACGTTTGATGATTTTATTTTATATATACAGGTTGATATAAATTCTTTTCTTCTCCGTAATTATAATTAATTAATTATTATTATATTACTGAATATATAACTGAATCGTAAAAATTTCATTTTTTAATTGTTATTTTATCTTAAGGAAATTGAGATAAAATTTATTATAGTTTGCTAAAAAATTCAAACGATCAACTTCAAAAACTTCTACGATTTCATTTGTTTGAATAAAGAAGAATGAAATAATACGACATAATTTTTAAGAGTATAATTCGCCACATTCACGCTGCACATTCACACTCACCTGGATACGTGCCTCAGGCAATCCAATCTTCTCAGCGAGACGTTCCCGTGCAAACACGTCTGGGTAATGGGTCCGTTCAAATTCTAAAACAAAACAAAGACAGCAACAAGTGTTTTGTTATTCTCAGATTTTCACACAGTGCACGTGCTCACATTTTTCTACAATTATTTTACAAAAAATATACAACTTACTATATTATAAGATTAATATAAGTACTTTTCATTTATTCACATTGGATTTGAGTTACATATTTTTACCAGTTTTCTAGTCTAAAATATTTAAATGATTCATAAATATATCTTTCAAATTAATATGTATATTTAATTTTGCAGATTTCTTAGTTGCGTAACATTTTTAAACATTGAATTAGTTTTTGATGATCAATTGATATTGTTCAAACTCATTAATTATTAAATTCGATTTTACAATCATAATATCTTAATCGATCCATACGTTAATTTCATAAAAAACAATTACTTTGTTAAAAATAGTATATACAATTCCTCGATTATTAAGTGTTTTTTCTATTAAATTGATTCCTCTATAAATATGATACTATTATGTTAAAAACAATTATTTTATAGATTGCATATGTAGTTCTAATAAGAATTATTCAATATAGAAATTAAATTATTCATCAAAATATATGTTTTTGATATAATAATTATTGACAACCTTTCTCTAAAATATATATTAAACAAATTGTTTTTAAATATTACTATATGATGATACAAATAAATCTACGCTAAAATTTAATTTAAACATTAATTATAACATTTTATTGAACTATAACTTATACATAAATTTATTTAAAATAAAATATAATTTAAAACTATTAAATATTGAAATATTTTTATAACGATAAAAGGTGATTCCTTACCCTTTTCGAGACTATCGATTTGCTCATTCGAAAACGAGGTGCGATTGCGTTGTAGTTTCCGCTTCAACCTTAATCGCACTTGTGAATCTTCATCGCCTGATGAATTATGCTCTGAATTACCATCGGATGTTGTCTCTTGCTGATGAGATAATAATGATCCAGTATCTATAATCAGATACATATTTTTTTAATTAATATATAGTAGTACTTATTATTATTATTATTATTATTAATATTATTATTATACTAATTATTATTAATCTAAATTGATATATTGAAGAAATATATGTAGAATCGTTATTAATCTAAAAAAACTTTGACATTTATCGAAATCATATCTTTGTGCTGCAATAATAGATATAAAATCATCTATTAATGTTTTTTCTGTATGTAAAAACGTAAGTATGTATATAAATACGTAAGTGAAAGTATTTCCAAATAAGCAAACTGTTCTATTTTTATGTGGATACCTTTAAATAAGTAAGAATATTTCAATTTCAAAATTATCAAAGGGTGGATGACAGTATGTGGCTCAAAGCAATTCTTCGCATGCTTGGTGAATCAAAGAAGTGGTTACAAATACTGACTAATGCATTCTTATAAGATTTAAAGTAATAGGAAAAAAAATATATTCACTTGAAAATTATCAAATTGTATTTATAATACTATTTAGATTAATAACTTTAATATTCGATTTTTGTTATTCTGTAGATGTTTGTTCATATATTTTTATACTGTTAATTTAATCTTTCATTGTCTATGAAAAATTAATATCTTATTTGATCTAAAATAATATTTTTAAATTTCTAATTTTTACTACGTTTTACATGAAAAAAAAATAAATTTAATATTATAGTACATTATAGAAATTTTATATTATAGAATTTTATTATTATTATAGAAATTTTCTACTAATATGTAAATTGTTTTATTATTAAATATAACATGCATATAAATTGAAAATTGAAATTATATCACTAATATATAATTAAAAATTAATTATATTTTTTAAGAACTTTAAAGAACTTTTTAACTTTAATTAAAAACAAAATCCACCTAGAAACTAAGAAGTTAAAAATTAGAACTGTGAATTAAAAAAAAATTAGAATATGTAAATACTATTCTTCAATTAAAAGATTATTTTGTAATTAAAAAATTGTATAAATAATGAGGAAGTAACTTACAAGCAGAAAGTACGAACATTTTGTGTCGAAATAAAATCTATAGTATCTATTATAATAGCTGATGTTTGATGAACGATTCGAAACCTTCAAAAATTTTTGAAGTTGCAGACAGTGGTTGGCTGTCGGTGGCTCAATATTACTGTTAAAACTCAATGCGCAGGCTTTCGTTATCCCCCGCGAAGGCTTTTGCGCTATAGACAGAAGGGAGTAAAGCGGGATAGTTACAATTACTTTCCATCTCCGTGCACCGAACCCTCACGCGTACTTCCATCCCTCTTTCTGTCTGCTTGTCCGATCCCTCGCACACCATCCCTCCGTTTTGTTTCTTCATCCGTTTGTCAGCTACTACGGTGTTGTTGGTCTTCGTGTTCAAGAGTTTCATATCTATCATTTTTTCAATCTTTTTTTCTCGAGTTATATTTTTTATTTTTACTTATATCTTCATTTCTATATCGCTATTGATCTCAATCCCATGGATATGCCATTTCTTTATTTCTATTTCAAACTCCTATTTTCATGTACTTCATATTTCAAACTAGGCTACATGTATTTATATAATTTCGATCAGAATTGGGCATATGAATATATCTTTAATCTCTTTATAATTATATATATATTATAATTAATATATATATATATATATATATATATATATATATATATATATTTATAATTAAATAATTAAAAATAATATAATATACATTTTTAAAGATATTGATATTTCTATTATATTTAAATTACGTGATCTATCGCCTTATTGAATATTATATATATTATTTTATTGTATTACTTTATAAAATTTAAATGTTTCAATTAAACTAATTATGTAATTTAAGTACAAAATAAAATAACAAAATTAATATATAATATGATTATAAATTAAATAATAAAATTCAAATATGGTATTCTCATTACATATCATAAAAACATTTGAATAAAAAAGAAATAACAAATACAATACGATAAAGAATTACGTATTTTATTTATCTAAAATGCTGTAATTTATTACACTACACTTTCAAAAAGAACTCTTAGTTCGTTCAAAAAACATTGAACTGTCTTATTTTACTGACAATTCTATCTTACTTTTTCATTTCCTATTTCGATGAGTTTTGTCCCTCGCACACTGAGTCCCTTCTTTTAGATCGCCATTAGAGAATTCCACTTATTTTACCCCTTCTCGATAAAATACCGACAGTAACCCCAAATAGTCGCTACTTGTGTTCCCTTTTGGTTTCTTTGCGCGTCCGTTTCCGTAGGCTGCCCCTTTCGCGTATCTTCTTTTAACTTTGCTACCACCGTGGCTGCCGCCACTATCACCGCCCCTTTTCTTCACCACATCGAAACTCATACATTTCGACCCTCTTCAATTTTGCGTATGTGATGAGAACCATTTTGATACAATACTAAAAGACTTACTGATTTCACTATAAAAAATATCAAATACATTATTTACTTGTTATTATCAAATTAATAAATCCATATTCTTGGATATAACTTATATGTAGTAATTTTTAAATTTTAGATTATTTATTGAATGTACAAATGTAAACAAATTCGATATTTTATTCTTCGTAATTGATTCTTTATACTTAACTTTCACAATAAAATTTTTTTAAATAAATTCTTTCAAAGTAGCAAATTAAACGACCTAATTTTCAGTTAATATTAAAAATTTTATTTTACAATTTACTACAAAATCAATATGTCTTTATAGTAACATTTAAATTGCAGATCAGCCTTGAAGAAATATTATGAACCAGTAACGGAAGTAACTCGTTATTATTAACAATTTCGAGCTAGAATATAGTTTACTAATAGTTGGTAACTTCACATTGCAACGACTTTAGACGATGAGAAAAGAGATGAAATTTTTAAAACTAGATTCTTTATAAAAATTATTTTCTACAGAATTATTGTATAATTTAAGGTCAATAAATTTAAAGTTATTTAAAGTTTTTATTTAAAGTTATTATTTTTATTTATTTAATTTGTATTAAAAACATTGCAATAAATCAAAGTAAATAAAGCAAATATTTTTATAAATTTATTTTAATGTTTTAATACTAAAAACAAAAATATATAAAAATATATCTGTGGAATAAATATAATTTTATTAGACCTTCTTTTCAAATATTTTTTCTTATCATTAATTAATTGCATACTTACATTTGTCATTTCAAATAATACTTCTTTTTAATTGAATAAATAAAGGTACTTTATAATTGGATAACCGTATTTTCTTGATTACACTAAAATATATTACTCTTTTAAAATATTTTGTTTTAATTTAATTGATTACATCTGTTTATAATATTCAGTTTAGAAAACGTGGTTAGCTGCTTCTCTTATGCCTAAATAAATATCTTTTGATATTTCGTTTCTCTACATTCAAGCGAGCTTTTTATAGTTGGTAGTATCTGTACCTAGTCGTGTATATAATACGAATAAGCGTTCCAAATGGCTTTCATAATCTACCTATTGAAACGTTACCGCATCTGGAATCGTCATCTGTGTGGCTAATCGTGCCGCAATCTGAGCCGCTTCACTGATTTCAATGATCCTATTAGTGGAAGGCGATTTGACAAAAACTCGCAGGTATTTTTCCAATTTCTATCTTACTCATTCTCTGATGTCTATACCATTTAATATGACTACATACGCATATACATACTTAGTATAAAAATAGATTAAAAAAACTGTAAAATATATATATATGTTGAGAAGGAGAAAGAGAGAGAAAGAGTGAGGAAGAAAATAAGAGAAGTTCATATGTGATGAATTTAATTTCTTAAGATAGCCGATGAAAGATACAAAAATAAGAAGAGAGATGATAGTTCTAAATCTTTAGTGGACCACAGCGATCCACGCTTATAAATACATAGATATTTTTTAATTATGAAATTAATTTTGCAGTATATCTACAATGGATAGATTTCTCTCATTTAGTTTTATTATCGACTATGTATTCTATCTTAACCAAGTGACTATAATATACAAAAAATAATTTAATATTTATTTACATTAGATTAGATAGAATAATCATATAGAAAGTATATTTTTATTTAATCTTGGTAGAAATTTTTATATTAAAAATATGAAAAAATCAGATATTAAAATATTTTAAAATATTAGTATTTCTTTTTATTATTTGTGTAAATAAAGAATAAAAGGAATAAATAATCTTAATAATTTTTTGACTGTACAATTTCTCTGTACCTTATCTACATGTAAAAGAGAATTAAAATTTTCAAAAAATTTGAGTAATATAAATTAAATGATATTAATTAAATGATGATTACAAAATGATAATATAAATTTTATTATTCAAATAAATAGTTGTTCTAATTTATTATATTTTATGTTGAAAATAATTCTATATTGTACAAAATAAAAATCATTTATTACATTTTTATTCGAATTTATTATTTTAGAATTTTATTACATTTCATTATACTTATATAACATAAAAATAAAATGAATTAATAAGAAATGAAAATGTAGGTATAGTATTTTTATTTCAATTTCATTAAAAATACATAATAAAATATTATTCTATAATATTAGTAAATATTAAGTTAAAATGCATAAAAAAACTATCGAGCCTCAGCTAAGGAAGATTAATTTTGAATGGAAATTGAGGATTTACTCGTATAATTTTATATCTAGTATATTATATAGGCAGTTGTTAAGCTCAGAGTAACGTACGTTTAATAAATTATTCGATTTGATCACACAAAATGAAACCCATTTCGCGATAAAAACTACTTTTCCCAATATATACTTCCAGCTTTTTATTCAAGTATCCATCCTCACCTGTACGTTTGAGTAGTGAATCGTCGCGACCATGAAGTTGACCGCTAGGTACTAGCGATTGTGCTGAGCCAGGTGTAGCAGTACCGGGAATACTAGTGGCGAGAGAATGATGCGAGGGTGTCGCCGCGTACCAAGCGTGGGGCCAGGCGGCTGCTTGTCCATTAAACATTCGCAACTTGTCGTAAACGCTCTCTGCGCCCTGGTGTGCCTGTACCGCCGCGGCCTGCTGTTCCTTTTGAGAAGCCAAGTTACGCAGTACCCTGTTGATTGATGACACCTGCAATCAAAATGGATGCGTGTTGCCTCATTATAGTTTGTGATTAGACTTTCTATGCATTAGACTTTCTACTATATAATTTTTTGTACAAATTACCTGTAAATACTTTCAGTTTCACTTTCTTTTTCTAAATGAAACCCAAGTATTTGAGTGAAAGGAAAGAAACTCTCTATCATTCATTTTCTACGGATAATATCAAAAGATAGTATAGGTTTCATATACACTCATGATATTGTTTTATTGAAAATAAATACAAATCTCACTGTACCGACTATTTATTGACTTATTTGATCTAGCATAATATATTCGTATTATATTAATTTACAATTCAATAAAATAAATCTTTTTGATTTTGAATATATGAATTTGGATTTTTTATACATAACAACAGTTATTAATTATTACAAAATATATAAAATAAACTTTGCAATTTATAAAACTTTTTTTAAAACTTCAAACGTAAAATTATGTAACAGGATTCATTAGAGAAAATTACTAATATACTTTGATTTTTTTAAATTGCATAAAATAATATCAAAGCTATAATTATTGGTGTAACTATGTTATGCTCGCAAGTAAAAAGATTACTAAAAAAATATACAAAAAGTTTATTTATCGCTAAATAAAAGTTCTATGTATTTCATATAAGTATGTCTGAAATAAAAACCCAGAGGAAAAGTTATTGTATAAAAATCGATACATGCCTTCATTAATGAAAAAATGATGTAAAAAAATTAAATCGTCATGAGTACTGAAGAGTAAAAATGGAACAAATTTAACAACTTTACGCAACGTTTCAAATACTTCATTCAGCTTCCATTTATTAAAACTGTATGTTAAATGTCTTCATTTAGCTATTTTTTTCATTGTGATTTTACATTTCAAACTATATTATAATTTTGAATTATGTATTATATAATGTATTATAATATAAAATATAAAAATTATAATATATTATAATAATGAATATTGAATGAATATAACTAACTGCTATATAATATTAAATGAAATTGAAATTTAACTAAATAAATTTATATGAAAAATTATGTGCAAATTGAAATAGCAACTATAATTATTGTATCACTTATGATTATTTCACAAATATAATATGAGTATAGATTTGAAACGAATTATTTGATAAAAATAAATTAAATTGAAATTTAAAACGTAACAAATTTTTCTTAATAATTTCCTAAAAAAATACAAAATGAAAATAAGTTTATGTTTAATAAATTTATACATGAAAGAGATATAATGAATTAATTATAATATATTACCTTAATAATATTATAAATATGTGTTTGAAATTCAATTTTAATAATCTAACTATACTCCAAATTTTACTATAATTTTTTAATCGATGATTTGGTTATTGTAAATTTGTAATATTCATAATTACTTAAATTTTGAAGATCAATTACTATAATAAATTTATAGATTAGATATTCCTCTGATCAGCTTTCAATTTTTAGTAGGCAAAAGATTTTAGTAAGTAAAAAATATATTGAGTTTATTTCTATCATTCATATTAAATTATAATTATTTATCATAAAAAATTAATTTCTTTGAACTTTCAGCTTCGTAATTCAAAGCATTTAGTAAAACAGAAGGTACTATACCATAATCTACTTTAATATTCATCTAAAATTAGGAAAAATATTCTGGAAAATCTATTTTATATTCTACTTATTAAATGCATATCTAAATAATAATCTATAATAATTTTCTTTATTATATTTCATTAAAATAATTGTTTTAGTTGTTTAACAAATAAAATTTGGTTTAAATAATTTTAATAAAATTTAAAAATGGATTCACTTATTTTGTGATTTAACAAGATGAAGCATTTTAAAAATATAAATAGTTTAAAATAATTTGGAATTAAAAAGTAGACGTTACTTTACAGATATTTTTATTCATATTTTTAATGAATTAAAGTATTAAAAAAGATTAAATTATTAAATTGAATAATACTTCAAGTAAATAATAATTTCAATATAAGTTGGTTATATTATATTTTATTATATTACACTATATAAATGATTATATTTGTATAAAATTTTTTAATTTTTATTAATTTAGTTGAATACATAATTATTAACATATATACAATACTAGACTTAATTAAATTAAATTTAATCATATGAAATTGTGATTGTAAATATTCTTCAAGGCATTTTATGATATTGAAAAAAAGGTCAATTCTGAAATTAATCGACATTTAATCTAAATTAAATTTGACGTTAATAAATAGTATTTTATATATAATAAATCGTTTGATAAATATTGAACTATCTAAAAATTAAAGGATCAACCATTTTGATAAAATTATTGAGCAAAAGCAATAAAGGTTAACACAATAATAACAGTCACGTAAAAACTTAATTGCATTTACGGACACACTTATTGAAATATTTAAAGTAAGATACCTCTTAAAGATTGAAAGAGAAAAATAAAAATAATATGGAAACTTTCAGCTGCGATCAGGATGGAAATAAAACATTCAGGGATCAGGATCCCTTAAAGTATATTCAATGTGAATGCGGATTCACTTTAATGTTTCGAGGGGTATGCGAGTGGATAGATGGTACGTCGCTTAGTCCAGCCACAGGCAGGCAAACGAACAGACTCGATGCAGACTATTACACGCGCGACCGGACACGAATAATTGTAATGTACGCTTAACTGGTTGCATTCAGCTTCTTTTCCTTGCTAGTCTCACATTCCTTTCGCACCCCTGCCTATGTAACGTAGTCAACGCTCGTCACCTTTCTTTACAGTACACGTTTACCTCCTTCAACGACTCCCTTTCGATACTATGCATCATCATGAATTTATAACTACAATGCTTAGTTAAGCCTACGCGTCTTCTCTCAGATTGCTTTGCTCTCTACGATAGTAAAAAAACTGTAAGAAAAAGGTTAGCCATACAAGAAATAATTATAAAAAATCAAGTTAATTAAATATTTATGCTAGAAGTATTTTAGATTTATGAAAAAGAAATGAATGTTTGAAAAATAGAACTCAAAATAACTATACATTTAATTCAATTTACACATAAGGTTGCAGAAGAATAAATATATATATATATATATATATAAACATATACTTTGATCTATGAGACATAGTTGAACTTAATTTGTTCTTGAATTGAATTTTAATTGATGTATTTGGAATTGATCTCTTTCTTGTATACTGTTCAGATAACAATTCGTGCGAACTCTTGTTATCCCAGTACACAAAAAAGAATTATGTAGTCAACAATGAAAACAGATATATATCTTTCAAAAATAAATTTTTTTACTTATTCTAAGAACAATTGGAAAATGGAAAGACACATTAAGAGAAAAATTATCTTGAAGTAGTTATATAATTTAGATTTATTTTAATTTAGATATATTAGATTTTTTGAACGAAATTCAAAGATAAAAAAAATAAAAGTGGAATATCTTGAAATTTTTTTTAACTATAAATTTAATAAATATTTATCTACAGTAAATAAAATTAACTTGTACTTCATATTTATAAAGAAAAATGTTTATAGAATCGTTTATAGAATAGTTACGTTTATAGAATGTATACAGAATAAATTTTATAGAACTGTTCGAATGCAAATAGTAATAAGTGTTACAATTATAGATATTTTGTTTTTGAACATATGAGAATTTTAAAGAAAACTCTATAAAGGTTATTTCTAAAAGTATTTGTATAATTTAGCTATAGATGTATTTTTTTGAAAAAATGTAGCAAAATATGTACACCAAAATGGCGTTTAATTCTAAAAGTGAAACCTAGAAAGAAAAAAACACAAGGTGACAAGGGCATCAAATCTATATTTTGAAGATGAACTACCCTAAATCCATACGCACACTCGTACTCACGCTCCAACAATTCATTTTTTTTCGATTGAAAGAAAACAGCAACAACAGCAAAGGGGCGCCTATAGGGTGGACAATGTCAAAGCCGCGTAATGGACCGATTACCCCATCCATCGCAACGGGGCGATCACATTGATGAGACTTTGATTAGGGTCGAGTGGCCGGATCCGATGGGTAAGTACTCGGCCAAGACTGGTTTCATCCCGATAAGCCTTATCTCTCTATCTCTCTTTCTTTTATCTTTCTCTTTTTTTATTTTCCCCTAGATAGCAATATCTCTCAAGTTCAGATATTCGTTCTCTTCCTGTTTCTGTTTTACGATGGTCACGCATAATAATGTAAATAGTCTATTAACATTTAGCAGACACAAAAAAAAAATAATTAGAATATATAAAAAATAGATGAGAGATAGTTTCATTATATTATTTATTTTGAATTAGATTCTTTATTGAACATTCCTTCGAAATTTCAATATTCTCTATTAAAGTCTATACGTAACATTTCTTTTTAGTATAAAATAAATGCCATAACTGAATATTTACAATCCATTATTTATTATTATTATTATTATTATTATTATTATTATTATTATTATTATTATTATTATCATTATCATTATTATTATTATTATCATTATTATTATTGTTGTTGTTATTGTTATTATTAAATAAGAAATTTTTATCATAGATACAAAAATTTACTTGTATTCAACTTTATTTGTAAAAGAATTTTGAAATTACAGATAATTGTTTATGTATAGTAGTACTTATACCATATTTCTAGAAATGTCAATTTTGAATTTCTCAAGATTATATTTATGTTGCATAATTATTGGATTTTTAAAAACAATTTTGTTTCTATATAATACGTGTTTCACACATTTTATCTTCTATTAAATTAAAAAATATTGTGCATTTTATCTTTGCAAAATTATTATGTTCAATTACATATTGACTTAAAATAAACTATGCTTGAAATAGATTTTACTTACACTAGGTATATTATCGTTATTACAAATTCCTTCCTGTAGTAATCGATCACGAATTTCCCATGCAAAAATCGATGGACACTCGCGTTTGTAATCCGCGATTTTATTAACAACTGGTGTTGTAGCGACACGTGGTTTGCTTCCACCAATTGCTCGAGGTTTTATGGAGCCTGTTTCATAATATCTGTAACAATAAAAAATTAAATTAATCTCAATTACGATAGGCGATAAAGAATTGTATAATATTAAGCATTTTTTTAATATTGTAGATCCGTTTGTCAAATATTGAATAAAGTTACATTTATTTAAACGAATTTGTTTGGAATTTTAAAAAAGGCGAAAGAAAAATTCAAGATTGTAACTACAGCTTGAGGCAGACTCACCTGCCAAGTATTTTGGAGACACATCCGTTGCTAACCTGCAGAATCCGTGAAATATCACAGGGTCTAGCCCCACTATGGGCTAGTTCGACAATCTTTTGCCTGGTAGAGTCAGGCAATGGCCTACCATTCACATAGACTCCACCAAGTTGATTGACTCCACTGTGTCCCGCCGCAGAGCAACCGAATATTGAGTTCTGCCCTACCATTGAACCACCCCCAAGACCTCCTCCCCCATGCATCAGATCTTCTTCTGAAATCAACGCCAGTTGATGATCATAAGAATTGTAGGCACATAGAAACCTCGACTCTATGGCAGCGCGTTCAAAGGACACAAATCATTTTAATAAAATCGCAACTTTCTAAATCATACTTCAACGAATATATTTACAGTGACCTCAGTTTTTACTTACTACTTTTAATTTTAATCTCATTATTTAGAATGTGAACAATAATCTGTGACTAAATATAATTTTTTTTAGAAATTTGGTAGCAAATCTGAGGCAATGCGACAAAATGACGTAATTCGAGAAATGTCCTTTACCCTTTTCCCATTAACAAAATTTGTATGTACTTTTATTTTTATGTGAATAGGTGACATAGTATCATTGACATTTATAAATTATGTTTTTCATCGCATTACAAAAGTAGATTTGAATAGTTGGAAAATTAAAATCTAAATAATTATTAAGAATTAAAAACTTATTTAGAATCTAAAATATAATTTTTGCAAAAAATGAGCCTGTGGTTTCTTTTTAATAATTTTATTCATTACTTTACAATTATTACATATGTAATATAGTATAGTGTAACATATGTAATACATATGTAATAATTACATATGTAATATAATATATTATAAATAAATATTGAAAGGCAATGGAAAATACTTTTTCAGTACTATTTTTAAAAACAAGAAAAATCATATTATGCATGACCTTTGTTGCAGTACCATAGATTTTTAAAATATAAATATCAGCCGCTCACGGAAAAAAAATTCACGTCGATGATCTATAACTGTTGTCATGGTAGAAGATACTATTAGTGACTTTGTATCACAACTTCAATAATGTAGTAATGGAGAAATGACCATGAGTCCGGTATTGCTTCATACACAATTAGAAGCGTGATCCTAAAATATTTATCTTATATTTATCTGAATTAAAAATAAATATCAATAAATTTATTTTGATTCAATAAATTTAAATTAACTAATAAATTATTCAGATAATTTTAAAATGTAAATACATGCAATAATAGAGGGAAAATTTTTGTTACCAAAAATTATTATTATTCATAAAATTGAGATCAAGACTTCATTTCTCAATATAAACTGTTATTTTTAAATAAAGTATACTGGCTATTAATACCAAAATTAATAACAAATATGAATAATGAATAATAAATCATTCATGAATTTTAGTAAAGTTACAAATTTAAATTGTTATCATTGCTACAATATATTTTGTGTAAAAATTAATACACTTTATTACTTTTAAATTACAATCAAATACTAATTAAAGAAATAAAATAAAATTTTATATTTATGAAAATTATATATTATTTTTCATATTTTATATTTTCATATTTTTCTATTTTTCTATTTTTCTATTTTTCTATCTTTCTATTTTTCTATTTTTCTTTTTTCTCTATTTTTTTATTTTATAATTTAATCAATCTATTATTTACTATATCAAATATTTTATAGTCTTAATACATTCTACACAAAATTGACCAAACTTATAAAAATAATTTGAAGAATTGTTTTAAGAGTTTTAAATTGTTTTAAAGTCTTTTTTTAAGAATTGTTCATTTTATAAAATACATTTCAAATGTAATTATTTTTAGTTTAATTATTTTTAATTTAAGGTATTTGAATTATAGTTATTTTTATTTAACAAATTTAGTTTGTGTAATATTAATAAAGCAAATTGAAACATCAATCAGTGAACGTTATTGTACAAACCTAAAAACAAAAGATTAATATAAGTTGAATTATTGTAAATCTTATAAAAAACTTATATATATATATATATATATATATATATATATATATGTGTGTGTGTGTGTCTGTGTGTTTAATTATGCTTTAACGACATTATTGTATTATGTTACATAGATGGTCAGTTCAGCATCGTTTCTCCAAGACTCATGTTGCTCTTACTTATTAGATATTAATAAAATCTATTGCGTAAATTGTATAATTAAGTATAACTTTTTCATTTACAAATTCTTTGATATATTTATATATTAATATGTTTTCTTTTTTCTTTTTTATGATAGTATTTGCCTATGTATGTATGAATATGCGTATGTATATATATACTTATGCCACTATATACTCATGTATAATTATAAATCACATGTTTAATTATAAATTAGTCAAGCTCAATGTTGCTTATAAAATAAATTGAAACATATTTTATATTATCCAAGTTTTTAAAATAAATTATAATTCCAGTAATTATTGAATTTTATAAAACTTTAGAAATTTACATAAAAATGAAAACCAACGAATAAAATTGACTTCGATTTAATACTGAATATATTGCAGATATATTTATAACTTGTATAACAAGTTTGGCATTTATAATATTTTCTCTTTCGCTTAATATACGTACGCACTCTGTATTTCTTTGATGAGGCAGAGAGGTGACTATGAAAATGCTCACGCATCGGTAAAACGAGTACACGCGCAGCGAATATCTCAACAACCTTTATGGGTCGTCGACAGTCGTCACTAAGGTGTGGTGCTCGACATTTCGCGGCGTTAAATGCATCTTGTAATTAACGAATTTAATTAATTTTACTCACTTTTGTAAACGGCCACGTACCACTTGAAGTATTTGCTTGCATCCGTTGCATGAATTGGTGAAATGGCGATTCTGGTGCCCTTTTGTAAACTTCATCTTTTCTCTCGTCTTACTCAATTTAGTCGCGAAATATTCACTGCACGTAAAGAAGAGACCACGGGCTAAGTGCTGTTGATTGCACTTTTAATGCCTTGTAGAGTAATTATTATCATAACGCTATAGCACGATAACTTATTTATTTTTGAATGATTGAAGTTTCTTTCCTTTTTTTATAACTTTAATTTAATAACGTAATTTTCGATTCAATATTAATTATAACTAACTATTCGATGGATTACATTTTTTTAATCTTATGTACTATTTATTATATTTAGTTAATTCGATTAATGGCATTAATAATAAACTTATATTTTTTTATCAATATCATTTAATCATAAATAATATAATTATAAAAATTCAATTAATTTCCAAAAATAAAATTTGGAGTATGAAAAATAAAATGATAAAAACTGAATTTTCTTTAAAATAATTAATATATATAGATATATATACAAATAATTGACTTTATTTTTGCCTTTTGTATACAAAAAGTGTTTTGTATTATATATTCCATCAATTTGATTTCAATATTAATTTAATTAAATTTAATATATATACTAAATATGTGAATTGTAGAAAAAATTATATTTTTAATATATTAATAATCATTGGTAAACATTGTCATTTTCTTGTAAGATAAATTAGAAGATTTTTACTAAATTCATTTCTGCAATATATTTTTTGTTTGATAAGTATACATTTTTTCTATTAAAAGTATTAGCTATTAATTTTTTATAAAATTAAAATTGTTCCAAGTAAATACTTACCCACTTTTAACATATATTTTATCAATACATCAACATGTTATATCAATACAATAAATAAAAAGTAATATTTTCTTACATAATTAATTATATATTTCTTCGAAAAAATCCAATCTCTTAATATAATGCAAAACAATTACTTTTACTTTGCTACTTTGATATTAATGAATAAATTCTCGATAGAAATTATACATATTTTTAATAATGTATACAGAAATTTCATATTTATATACAGTTTCTTTGGGATGCTTTATATCAATTTTTAAATTAGTTTAAATACATTTATAAAATAAATTTGGAATAATGAAACTAATACAAAAAAGTATAACATACTAGACAGTAACAGATTACATATTAAAAATATTCTGATTATGTATATTAAATAATAAAATTCCTTAAAGTTCGATTTATTAATTTTTCCTTATTTGGCATTGTTAATTAGAGCAGCAGATAAACTTTAATACCAATTTTAAAAGATATTATGTTTTGGTGATTTAAACATTAATTTTTAAATGATTCATTATAATTACTATAAAGAGCTTCAATGAATGTTTACCCTCGTATAAACTCGACTGATTAAGCCTCTAACTTTGTAATCTCCACCTCTACTTGCACCTTTTTTTATTTCTTTTACCTGCATTTTTATTAAATGAAAAAGTAAAATTTTTTACATTCATCTTCACTGAATTTTATTATTTTATTTTACTTCATTTAATTTAATTTTTTATCAAATTATTTTTACCCAATTTCTTATCATTAATCGTTTTTATATGTTTTTGTAATTTATGTAATTAACAATACAAGCTATAATAATACTAAATAATTTAAGTTCAGCAAAAACATTTATAAACATTAATTATAAGATGAAGAATTAAATAATAAAAAGAAATAGAATTATACAAGAAATAATCCTAATTTATTTAAAAATATATATTAAAAGTATATTTCTATTGTTTAGTTATACAAATAGTGAATAAAAAGAAAAATCAGAAGTTAATAATTTTATTATATACATGAGTAAAAAAATAAGGGAGAAGAGAGAAAAAGAAACAAAAACTGAAGGCGGCGACACAATTTCGGCATACTCAACATCGTTCTTTATTTATACTTTTACTACGTTAATCTACAAAATGAACTCGTGCGCAAAGGCCGAGCGTATAAGGCCACAAAATAGAGTAAAAAGGTTTCACTTGGTTGAGCGTGAAAGGGAGTACAAATTAAATCCTATTGCCGTACTACACAACCTCCCGACGCTCTACCCGTTATTCTCTTCCACTCTCTCGTCTATCCACTGTTTGTCTTCATTTTTCGCTACTCTTACATACACATTAACTCTCTCTATCTCTATCATTCGCTCTTTCTCTCTCTCTTCCCCCCGTATCTATCTATCAATTTATCTATTTATCTATCTACCTATCTATCTATCTATTTATATATATATATCTATCTATCTATCTATCTATCCATCTATCTATCTATCCATCTATTCATCTATCTATCTATCTATCTATCTATCTATATATGTATCTCTCTTCAGTACTATAATAAACTAGAAATAAATCCATTTAAAAACATTGTTTGTAAAATTGCTTTGTTTAAGTCCAAATTTCAATTAAACATTATAGTAAAAGTACCAGCTTTTAAATTTTAAAATGTTATCCTTTACATATTACTTGTATTAAAAAATATTTATTTTTTATTTTTATGTTAATTTTAATTGCTAAAATGTAAAAAAAATTTTAATAGAATATTTCACATTTTTTAAAAATATTATTTCAACAAATTAACAAATTTAATAAGTTATTATGTACCTTATACAATTAAGAAAGAATAAAATGTAAAAGAAAATCCCATAGGATATTTTCTTATTTAAAATAATCTAAAAAATTGGTCGCATATCCATTAGCCAAATATTGTTTATTTATGTACCATAATTTTGAATTATTTATTTTATTTCATTAAATTACGTTAATAAAAAATCTAAATGAATTAAGGATAACGTGAATGCGTTGTAATAAGATCAGCATTGATACATAATTAGTATTATAATTACTAGCAATAAATCAAATGATATTATACGCTACTTACATTAAAATTCAACGTAATTGAAGCTATGTATTTACCTACTGTGAGCTATTAAAAACTAATATATTTATGGAATACTTTCCCAATAAACTACTTAAGTAATCTAATATTATTTAACAATGATATTAAATTGAAATCTATAATGGGAACAGTTCGCTATTATTTGTTCAAGTTTTAATTTATTGTTGTATTATTTTATTGTATCATTTATTCATTAAAGGAAAAAAAGTTTTGAGAAATATGAACACTATTATTTTATTGTAAATATTATTCATGAGATTGCCTATTTTCAAAAAAGTTCAATATAGAAAAGTACTTAGTAATTTATTTTACATTTAGTGATCAGTTTTTCATTTTAAAATTAATAAAAAGTAAATAACGATCTCAAGGAAAATTATAAAACAAATCTCTTCCAGGTATATGAAAGCTATCGTTGAATAATAGGTATGTAACATCATTCATTTCTGTTTAAATCTACTTTCAACAGTACTTTTAACTCTCTACGTGGTTTGCTTTTTTTAACGCTTCTATAAGATTATACTCATTTCTTTTACATGTATAGATGTAACTTTCCAAGATAAAAATAAGATAAAAATGCCATGCAGTAGTTATAAAAAATCAAGAGAAAGAAAATAACAATAAAATGAAAAAGACTGTAAGAGAGAGAGAGAGAGAGTGAGTGAGTGAGTGAGTGAGTGAGAGAGAGAGAGAGTACTTTCTTATAGGTAATAATCGCTAAATTTTCGAAGCTGAAGTTTTATGGTTGCACATTAAATTTATGTATGACTGTGTCTACTCACTTATTTCCACTTAGAAATTTGAGTTATGAAGACAAAATTATTATATAATTATTAATATTTATTGCGCTATACAAGCTAAAATTAGATTTAAATTTATCTATTTCTGAAGAAAATAATAAAAATATTTCTATTCTGATTTATATCTTTATCTTACTCCAAGTAATTTTATATAGTTCTCATATAAAATACTTTTATACAATTCCATTTATGTAAATTATAGCTTATGCATATTAATTACATATAATTCGTGGCACTCATTTTAAGTAACATAAGATTTGTAAATTGTTAAATCGGTAATTCGGTTTCGAATTCAATTCACCTATTATAATAGAAAAGAACTCATATACATTGACACGTTAAAAAGATCTCCTTTTCGTATACTCTTATATTATATATTTTGATGTTACCGCTATTTATTCTTTTATATATGCCGTAATAAATATACAAAAAATAATTTGTCTACTCAAAATAACTGCATAAACATTATTTGTTTAAAAAATTTATTTAAAAATGCATAATAAAAAACATTCATTTTTACGTTAATTTGATAGAGACTGAATATTGGAAGTTTAAAAAATAATACTATATTCATATGTACATTTGTGTCTATCAGTATATGAATTGAATGTATTTAAATTGAATATGTCCTTTTGAACATTTATATATTAATATTTTAATGTATTATTATTAATAAAATAAAAAAAAAACAAATAAAAATATAAAAAAATATAATTTTAAAGTAATGAAATTTCATTTATGTAAAAAAACTTAATTTATTTAATTATTATTTATATATTTCTATTTGTATAATTTCTATATCAAATTTTAAATTTATAAATTGAATTGTATTTAAAATAAAATATTTTTTAAACGTTGTGATTTTTTTATATATTTTAATTTTAATAATTTGAATATTAATGCTTTCACGATAATATTTATTTTGTCAAAATTAAACAATATATTTTATAAAATAAACCTATAGTATAATAGAATTCGCTTATATATTAAAAATAATTTCATTTATTAAAAATACCACAATTTATTAATGTACATAAAATATAATAATATATCTACAACAAATTTATAGAAATACTATCTTGAAATAAAAACCAATCATTATTGGTCTTACTGAGAATTAATATTAAGAAAAATATATAAGAAATTTTTTTTTTCGAGAAGTATTTTAGTCTATTATAACTTATATATCTATATATATATATATATATATATATATATATATATATATATACATATATTAACAAATGTAAAATGTATAAAATTATAATAATTACTTTTGTTCATATAATTCAGAATTGATCTTAACAAACAAAAAATATTTGCTAACATTTTTTAATGGATCTTCATTCAGATGAAAATATTATATATTATATTTGTAATTATTATACTTTCACTATACATTTATAATAAATAGATCATATGTGCTATAATATAATTATAAATTATAAAATTTCTATTTATTTTACAATAAATTAAAATAAGATATTGATGCATTGCAGCTTTAATCGATCATTAGTATTTTATTCTAATTTATCTAACAATGATTCATATGTATTCTTTTCTTACTCGATTCTCCTTTTCTCAATAGTATCTCATAATTATTAATTATTTCAAAACATATATGCCTATATACAAAATTCATAAAGCATGTAAATCACATCTACCGTAACAGAATAAGGTTGCGGGAGTTTTTAAGTTGTGAGATGATGTGCGCCATCTGATCCCTGGGTCACGGGAGTGCAAGAAGGGCTATTGCTTTGACAGAAGCCAGATAAAAACAAGTAGGGTTATGGACTACCTTACCGGTTAACCACAAGCCTCTTGCATAGTATGAAACCGATCTCACGTAGCAACACATGTCTATCTACTTACGTAACGCCAAATGTCTTGCCCACTCTTAATGATTTGTCGGGTTTTACCACCAACTTATGCAGGAATACGAAAGATTTCGAGTCACTTAAAGTTGCGAGTAAATTTCATACTAATTTTTGAAACCGCAAGTCTGTGTATTGGTAATTATGTGGTAAACAAATTAACAAATTAACAACAGCGATTTTACAGGATGTATATTTACGTATTCAAGATGATTTGGTAACTTCATAAACAAGAATTTATTTTATTGTCATGTTTCATGTTTATTTGGAATAATTATGAAATAAATATGTAAAATAATTTTGTTTTCAATAGAGTTTAAAAAATTCATATGTTATAAATTTTGAAATGAATTTCAAAAAATATATTTTGAAGTCTTAAAGTATTTTTTAATCGTTTTAATAAGATTTCAATGATTTCATTCTTATAACACTTTCATTCATTGAAGTAAAGATTTATATATTTCAATTATCTTTTCAGTATATTATTAATTAATAAAAATATTAACGCTTTTAATTTAGAAAAAATAATGTATTAAAACTATTAATATTTCTCATTCTTTGTAATGATAACTTCTATATAAATGATTTAAAACAGTGTACTGTTCTAGAATTTAATAAATATCTACAGTATTTATTTTTCTTATAACACAATAATATAAAACATATTAATAAATTTTCATGTAAATTTATCTAAGTGGTCAAATATAGATATTTTTAATTTTTAACTTTGTTCAACATAAAAATAAAAGATTTACATCTATTTAACTAATATTTTATAAATATTTAAATAACATGTTTTTAATATGTCTTTATTTATCTTTAATATTAATATTTAAATAAAAACCTTTTAATTAATAAACATTAAATAAACGAAGATAATTAGTTATTTTTTAAAAATTAAAAATTCTTTGCATCAAATTATCTATTTATTATTATAATGACTAATATAAAAATACAGAATGAAAATTATTTAAAAAATATTATTTAAAATTATTTTATACATTAATTAAACCAATTTTTTTAATTTTATATTAAAATACTTTCTGCATTTGACATGTAAGTGAAAATATTATAGAGTAAAGCAATATTGATAATATTGTTTGACTCTTTAAACAACAGACAATTAAAGTTAGTTATAATAGAAAATTCCGTTAATTCGTCTAAAATGCACTAACAATTATATTTATTTGAATTCACGTACAGTTACCCTTCTAAGCATGACGCATACTAACCTTTGTGAGGCATCCTCCAGAAGGGCGGCTCGGGGGTGGAAGAGCAAGGGTTAGCCACCCCCGCGCCCAATAAAGTTCTTGCCGCGTGCAGCGCCGCCGCTGCCGCCTCCCTGTTCCTCGTTGCAGCAGTGCTTGGCGGAAAATTCGAAGGACCCGAATTGCTTCCAGTAGTAACAGCACCGCCGCCGCCACCACCGGCTCCACTAACACAATGCTAGAACCATATAAACACATTTGTATTTATTAATCAATCATCTAAGGCCCGAGTTCCTAATTTTTCATCATTTTTTACAACTCAAACTGAACTCTAATATTACACAAAACTGGTAAGACCTAATATTTTCAGCATTGGGATTTATAAAATATTTATATTATATCTTTATCCGTAATAGTTTTATATTTTTATTACATGATTTTGTAATTTTTATCATATTCATTCTCATTTTTAATATATAAATATATTAATGTATATGATGTATATGATATAATGTATATGATATAAATTATTTATTAAATTACTGGAATGTAAATATTCTTGTCGGGTAAGTAAAAAATATTAAAAAGTAACATAAATACGATGATTACAGCATACGAGAATTTATATTACATTATACGGAATTACTCATATTTACCTTGTAAATAAAAGTATTCATAGTATATCTTTCAAAGTATGAATTGATATTTGATTGGATTGGATACAAATTTTAAATTAAGTAATGGTATAAATTATAAAATATAATATTTAATAATATATGTAAATATAATATTTTATATTTTATCAATCATCTTATGATAATTCTTATGATAACAATATCTTCTGATAAAACTTAAAAATATAATTAAAATAATAGATTATGGTATTATTAATATTTAATATTATATAATATATTTAAAATACAAAATTTCTTAATTATCAAATAAAGTTTTATTATATATAACAGATCCGTATACTTACTATTCGAAAAAATTTATCTAATATTTTCTATAATAATATCCTTTCTTTTTTATTATAAAGTTGATTACTTAAATCAATAAACTATTCTCAATATTTATAATTAATTGATAAAATATCTATATACTGAATTTACAGAAATTAAAGTTTGACGGAGAATACAGTAAGTCCTATTCCGTTCTATGATAAGTTATTAAGCAATTAAGTTTGAACTACTAAATTATCACATACATATTATAATACTGATATAATTGACAATAATAAGATAAAAAATCGATTGTAATAATGTATGATTAAATTGAATGAAATGATAATGTACATAAGCAATATATAAAATATCGATTATAATTATATAATTACATCAATTATAATACCAATTATAATACTATACTGCATCTAAAGGCATGTGTAAATAATACAATTAAGCATACGAAAAATACAGAGAATTCTGGGTTTAAAATTAAATTATTTTATATTTTATTCAAGACTCTGTAAAAACCTTATATATATATATATATATATATATAATATAATAAAAATTAAGTACATTTATTTGATAGAATTAATAATATAATTATAATCTTATAGAAGGACAATTAGAAAAAAAAAATTATTAATTTATAAATCGAAAATAATAAATTTATTTAAAAATAATTTATAGAAAAATACTTTGAATAAAGTTGGCTAAAATACATTTTTATTCACTTGCTAATTAGATTTTGTAGGTATCAATAAATTAAAATTTGTTGAAATAAAACATGTTGCAAAAATTATATATCCATTAATCTATAATTTCACACAGTTGAATAATATATAACAGCAAGTGTTGGGAATTAATAATAACAAGTATAAAGCAATTATTTGAATTTTTAGTAAGTTTTATAAACATTGTAATGTAATAAAAATGATACCAATATTCTACTTGAAAAGAACTGTTACTATTTAGTGTAATAATTACATTTTAGAAAACTTTTTAAATTGATAGCAAATTACTCCGATGTGTTCATCAACTTTCTCTTTATAATTAGTAATTTACTGTTTATTTTAATAGTAGTTATAGAAAATAGAATATATTTAATAATATATCCATTTTTAATATTATTTTTAATGCATATATATTAAAATATAAACTTAAAATACAAGAAAGTTAAAATTATAAATTATAATTTTAAATATGATTTGTCTTTCAATATAATATATATCACACTTATACATTTTCTATACAATATACCTATAAAATAAATCTATAAAATATTTGTTTCAACAGTATAATTGCGTTCTTTACCATGAAAAGTAATGAAACTTATAAAAAAATTGAATTTCATAAAAAAACTGATTTAAACAAAATAAAAAGCAAGTCATTTATACAAATTGAAATGATAATGTAAAATTAAGTTATATATTAGTCATTTCCGTTTAAACTCTGCATTTAATTGCTACAACTCTGGCATTGTGACAAATGCACAGAATTTTTTTTGTTTATACAAAACTGAATAAATTTTTAATAAATAATACACAATGTAATAAGTAAAAAATATTTGTTAAAGTGAAAATAAAGTTTTTCAATATTATTTTATACAAATGTGTTTCAGAATCATTTTATAAAATATCTAATTTTAAAATTTGTTTTTATGTTATTTTATCTGGTATACACTAAAATTTTCCATATGTCAAGTAGCAAATACAAAAAAATTTTCAATTTATAAAATAAATTCAATTATTTTAATTTTTAAAACCAAATTTTTTAAATGAATAATTCTTGTGAATATGAATAGATCTATATAAAAAAATATTCTAGAATACAAGCTTTTAAAAAGATATAAAAGACACTAATACTTCGTTGTATGTTGCCGTTAAACATAACTATGATATTTTGTAGAGATTTAGGGTATTTTGATCAAATTGACTGAAGGTAGTTGTATAAGGAAATGACTATTTTATATGTATATATCATTACAAACAAAAATTAAAAGGTTCAATTTTTTAAGGTACTTACATGTATGGCTGTATAACTATTTAATTTAGGATGATCTATGCCTATGTAAGATAAAATAAGACATTAGTCCTTGTAAAAATATTCGATGCAACTAGGATGCTAATATCATAAATATCTAATGTAATTTTTGTATTACCTCGTGAGTATTGAATACATATTTATACAGCTAAAACTATTAACTTTAATTATTTTGATTATGTTTATAAATTATTTTAATATAAATATTGTTATTCATAAAAATATTATATTGGTATTGCTTAATCCAACTATTTCTATATATTTTTTTAATATTTATTATAATTAGGCCAATTAATATTTTAGTTATGTATTGCTTTATGGAATTATGAGTCATTTTATTGTTTAGAATAATTGATCTCTTTTTGTTGCAACAGTAAGTAGCAAATATTATTATCAGTAGATTTTTATAAAAAAAATTTTTATACATTAGATTTAAAAATCCCTATGATTTTCAAATCGTATTTCACTACTTTGTAAATAATAATTGTAGACGTACATTTTAAAAAACGTTTATATCAAACTATGAAATTTCGATAAATTAAAAAATTTTGAAATTACTTTTAGAAAGTTGGCAATAGTAATTGCGATAGCGATTATTTTTATCGTTTAAATAATAGATTTAAATGTATATATATCATTTATTAATGAAAATACTAAAACAGATACAGCATTTCTATTTAATCAAATTCAGTTCTTAAGTAGTGTTAAACATTTACTACAAAAAATAATTCCATCAATATTATTTAATTTTCTACTAAAAAAATATGCATAACGATTACAAGCGAATAATATTGACTTTGTAAAATTGTAGTATACTCTCATTTATATTTGTTATTGAATATTAAAAATTCTAAATATTTACGCTTATAAAAAAATATTTACATAATGAATATTTCAAAATCTTGTAATAATAATTATAAAAATTGTATTAATTTTGGAAATGTTGTAATAAATACAATACAATAACTTATATATTAAAACGTGTATAAATTACAAAAAAAGAAATATTAATTACTATGAATATATATTAGCCTTTAACGTGTACTATTATGAACTACTGGATTTAGTAGTAAAGATTATAACTTTTATAGAAGAAAAGTATAGTAATTGTTAATATGCCAGAAAAATATAAAATTTTCTTAATTTTGAGTTTTAATTAATATTATTATGTGTGCATTGACCGACGCTCGAAATTGTACACAGCAGTTTTAGACCTATTTTATGATTCCCTTGTTTCAAGTTGTTAATATAGATCTAGCTATTCTTAATATTTAATATTCAAAATTATAGAAGATACAGATAATAAATGTAACAAAAAATTTTTCGAAAGTCGACAATATCTCTAGTCTGCCTATGGCGATACTATCTCCTTAATTGTATCTGCCCCAGAAGTAAGAACAATATCATTTGAGAAAGTATCTAATTATCTAATCTAATGGAACTATTGTTCCATTATCTCTCTCTCTCTCTTTCTCTCTTTCTCTCTCTATCTCTCTCTCTCTATCTCTATCTATCTCTCTATCTACCTGTATATCTGTCTGTACGTCTGTCTGTCTGTCTGTATATCTGCCTATCTGTCTGTCTATTCTGTACTGAAAATTATATATTAGAAGTACTTAATATAAAAATTTTTTTTTATTTTCGCTTAATTTTACAAAAAACAGTACTAATATTAACTCAAAACAATCTTTTCTCCAAATAAAAATGTACACTTTAGTATTAACATAATTTTATACTTGATGAAATAAGATATAAGTATTGTAAAAAATAATAATCAAGTGTATAAAAATATAGGTGTAGTATAAAACATTATAATATGAATTTTACGTAACTTATGAAAAATATTAATTATAGTACAAATACTAGTAATACTATAAAAAAATTAAATTGTAAGAATATTTATTATGCAGAAACTTAGTTTTGAAATAAATGCACTTAAGCTTAGAATGCTAATATATTCATAAGTAATGAACATATTAACATGAAAGAATATTGGTGCAAAATAATTTTATAAACAAGAACAATATTGTTATTATTAATAAAAAAAATAGTATTAAGACTGAGAGAAAAATTAATTGAATACGAAATGACCGATCATATTACTGTAATTTTTAGTATATTTTATAGTTTTATATGAAATTCTTCGGAGAATTAGCTAAGAATATTTATATAAACCACACATATTATATATTGTGAGTGATAGAACAAAGTTACTGTAATTAATTTTTGTAAT